ATCATGAGACCAATTTGAGAGATTTGGCCCGTTGTGTGTGTGTTGTGTGTTGTGTGTGTGTGTGTGTGAGAGAGAGAGAGAGAGAGAGAGAGAGAGAGAGGAATATTTTACATATATGCATATATACAGGTTCCGGTAATTGTCGCCTCAACCATCCTGTGCAGAATAAAGTGAAAAACAACCAAATAGGAAGTCTTGTACCGTTTTGCGATTTTGCAATATTATTGAGTTATTAAATAAAAAAGATCGGCCAATCCACGCGAATAGAAGCGCGCGACGAGAAGAGACGTCCTACTGTAACACGATACACGGCGCTTCGCAAAGCGGAAGGAGAGCGAACGATGACTGTCTACGAATCGTGTTCGAGAAGTCTTCGTGTATCGTGTTACAGTAGGCACGTCTCTTCTCGTCGCGTGCTTCGGATTCGCGTGGATTGGCCGATCTATTTTATTTAATAAACTCAATAATTATTGCGAAAATCGCAAAACGGTGAGGATTTCCTATTCGGTTAATCACTTTACCTGCACACGACGGTTGAGGCGACAATTAACCGGACACCCTGTATAAAAATTTATTAAATTAAAAAATATATTTTTTACACATAAATGTTTTTTATTGATAATCACGATTTTAAATGTGATCTAACACAGTGTTCAAAAAATTTTTTAATTAAATTTTTTATTAAATTTTATAAAGAAAATTACTTGAAATTTTTTTATCATTAAGACCTTTAAAGGCTCCTTATTCTCTTGTAGAAATTTATCACTACCCACTAGGATTTTTAGCAATTAAAGTACTTTTTCCGTCTTTAAAATACTCTAATTACAAGTAATTTAAGTATTCGAAATAAAAGTGATTTATTAATTATCGAATAAGTGATAAATTGGCGTTACTAGTTAAATTTCTATAAGGGTTGAAATAAAGTATAAGAGATAAATAGGCTATATGTGAGCCGTATGCGAAATGTGAGATGTAAGACGCATATTAAAATTTAATTTTTCGATATAACTTTCAAAAATGTACACGAGGTACAAAAAATTAGCTTGGACATTTGTAAGACTTAAAATTGGGATTAATTCTCAATTCTATTAATTAAATTTCGATATAACACACCTTACATCCGCGCACGGCTCACATATAGCCCATTTATTAGTGCAATTTTTAAGTTCCTTATTTTTCAAAGTTCACCTTTTTACGTTATCAAATATTTTTGGTACGTTTTCAAGAATTTTATATTTTTACTTACCGCAGTTTCTTATCCAAATGTAAAATCTTTTATCGCAGTCTATAAAAAATTGAAACAATTTACAATTTTATGATATAATATTATTATTATTACAATTTCTATATATATGCACATCTGTCAAATATCGTGATTTATTTCACATTATTATTATCTATTTTAATAAAAAAAAAAAAAAAAACACTTGCAACAATCAAAAATAAACCGCCTGCCGCGAACGGAAAATGCCAAGAAAGCACGCAATTTCCGCGAATCTCGTAATTTTTTTGAAAAATCAACAATTTCAACGAAATTGTAAATTCTTCAAATCATTGCACAAGTATAATTCACAATAATAATTTGCAGTAACTACGATAAAAAATCGTATACTGAAAACCGCAAACGAAAGTGCAATGGGAGTAAGAGTAAAGTCTGTGATAAAATTAATTGGCAATAGAAAATTAATAATTTTCAAATAGAAAAATTTTGAAATTACCGAGGATTTACAAATAATAAAGTAAAAATATTAAATAATTTATGTTTTCGAATTTTGCTCGCGGAGAGGATCTTTAAAACAAGATTTTTAGAAGAGAGGACCTTTAAAATATAAACAGGCAAAAACGTTGGAAAAATTAAAGCGCGCGTTTAAACAGATAAACGCAATGAAATAGATACGCAATTGTTTTTACTTATCGCTGTAAGCTCACAAGCTTCTGACGTGCTATACACTTTTATATAATATATACAGGGTGTCCGGTAACTAACGGACCAATGATTAAGGGCGGATTCTCTGGCCAATTTGGAGACGATTTTTCCTTAGCAAAAATGTAGAGAAGTCAATAATTTTCGAGTTATAAGCGATTGAAAAAAATAGATTTTTTGAAAACTAAACGTTTTGGAGTTAAAAGTCTAACATAATTACATTCTTCAGTTAATTTCAGGTAGAGTTTACTATAATAAAATTTTAATTTAAGGCTTAGTTATAAAGATATATAATGACAAAGATTGGAAAGTTGTAAAAATGATGACCTTTTTCGACATTTTCGCTGAAGAAAAATCGTTCCCAAATTGACCAAAGAATCCATTTGTAATCATTGGTCTGTTAGTTACCGGACACCCTGTATATTGGACACGAGTTTCGTTTGTTTCAGATTCTCGAGAGTTGAAGTAGGAACATACGAGTATCATATATCGTTTGTGACTTGCCGAATGAAAGCAAGACAGAGAGCGAACGAGATGATGAGCTTAATAGCTCATAATGTTATAAATAAATAAATAAAAAATTATAACCTGACCTACTAGTTATTGAATCTTTTTTTAATAAAATGTTTCATTATTATTATCATCTAAGTCTAAGTCGTTTAATTACTTTTTAGTTTTTTAATAATTAATTTAATTTATTCTAGTCATTTTTATATGAGAAAAATAATATCACGTATACGTTTTATAATGAATTAATATATTTCGGGAATCGAATTATATATTCTTAATAATATAAAAGTGTTCAAAAATTATATTTGACTTTTAATTTTAATTATTTTATAGCAAAGAGTTCCGAAATCTCTTACACACATAATGGGGATTTTTTTCATCCATATAATTCGCAATTAAGTATATATGTTAATTATTAATTTTAATAAAATAAAATTAAAATTAAAGGTCAAATATAATTTTTAAACACAAATATATTAAATTAATTATAAAACGTATACCCATGATAGTATTTTTCTCGTACAAAAATAATTAGAGTAAATTAAATTAATCATAAAAGATTAAAAATTAATTAAAGAATTTAAACTTATATTTTATATAATAATAATAAAACATTTTATTACGTCAAACCGTCGTGAAATAATTAAATAAAATTTGCTAGTTACGTCAAAGTCAAGTTTTCTAAGCTTATAAAACATTTTATTAAAAAACAGATTCAATAAATATAAGTACATGTTATATATATACTTATATTTATTGAATCTGTTTTTTTTATAAAATGTTTTATTATTATCATATATAATATAAATTATTTAATTATTTTTTAATTTTTTTATGAGTAATTTAATTTGTTCTAGTTATTTTTGTACGAGAAAAATACTATCACGCGGGTATACGTTTTATAACGAATTAAATATATTTATGTTCAAAAATTATATTTGACCTTTAATTTTAATTTTGTATTTTATTAAAATTAATAATTAACATATATACTTAATTGCGAATTATATGGATGAACAAAATCTCTATTATGTGTGTAAGAGATTTCGGAACTCTTTGCTAAAATAATTAAAATTAAAAGTCAAATATAATTTTTGAATACTTTTATATTATTAAAAATATATAATTCGACTCTCGAAATATATTAATTCATTATAAAACGTATACGTATTAGTATTTTTCACATATTAAAATGATTAGAATAAATTAAATTAATTATTAAAAAACTAAAAATTAATTAAACGACTTAGACTTAGATGATAATAATAATGAAACATTTTATTAAAAATAATTATAATAGGTCAGGTTAATATTTTATTTATTTATTTATTTATAACATCATAAAATTCTGTCCTTTCCGAAATACGCGAACGCTACGAAAAGATAAATCTCGTACATGCCGCCGGACGAGTTCATGAACATGAGACGCTCTTATCTTGGGAACGTATTAATAGTTACTGCATTGACCACTACTACGATATGGCGCTGAAATCAGTGAGAAATGCTGGTCTCTCCTTCATCCAGACCTTTGGCGATCTGTCTATTAATCTGTGATAATACTAATATAAATAATACATAATATATAATATATAGTTATATAATAATTTATAATATATATACAATAAATATATATATATATATATATTAAATGTTTTATTATACAGCAGAATGTTTTTGTCTGAATTGAAGGATGACAAAGAACTTATGTTTTAATTTACCAAAATAAATTATTTAACTTATTAAGTCAAAAAAATATTAATATTATTAATAGAAATATTTTAATAAAAGTAGATTTTTAAAAACAATATTTTATATAAAAACATGCTTTCTTTAAAAAAATATATGCAGTGTCTTATAGGAAAATGCTAAAATTGTCATTTTTAATTTCATTCAGTTATTGAGAAAACAAAAATTGTGTTAAAAAGAGGAAAGTCTAGTTTTTAATGGATATAAATAAAATGTTTGTATATCAGTTTATTTTAATGATAAAAAGTACTGTATTAATATTTATATACTATATATATTATTTTAATTAGACACACGCTTGCATGCATCTATACATATTAAATTTTCTGCATATCTTTATTACATATATTTATTATTAACAAGACCACTACCAATCTGTGTATGTAGCATAAAATATATTTAATAATCCAAAACCTCTCAAAAATTTTTTTAACAATTATTGATATTATATTTTATATAATCTTTTATTAATCATAATTATTTATCAACTGTAAAAGAAAAATGTAAATAAAAATTAAAATAATAAAAAAGAAAAATAAATGCAAAAAAAAAAGATTCAGTCTAATTATGCCACATGCTTTTTTTCTCCTCTCTGATAGATTACTCTTTGCAATATTAAATTAGATCTATATTCACAATAATGCATCTATGAACAGTAAATTTTAAAGTTATTCCTTATTTTGCGCAAAAAATTGTTATGTATGCTGGACATAAAAATACTTTCAATTAAAAATGTTAAAGTAACAAGGTTTATATAATTTATTTTCAAATTACAAACTATGCAAACTCATTTTTACTAAGAACCTTTTTCATAGTTTTTTCCAAAGAAAGTAATATTTTACAATAAGAGTCCACACATACAACAGCACACTTCTCAAATTCTGCGCTATACCTATCCACTTCAACCTGTGTCGGATTTGAACCCATTTTATCTTTTATATCGTCATTGCATTCCATTACGCATCTTTGCAAACGATTCTGGAAAATATCTTATTTTAAAAAGTAAATATACAGGGTATCTGGTAATTCGCGCCATCCAAAAATCAATTCTAATATTCATATATACATATAATATCCATATATTCATATATTCATATATTCATGTATTCATGTATATATATTTCAAAAGTCATATAATCCTAAAAAGCTCTTGAGTTTTCATCGCGACTATACATGTTAGATTGTAACGTCAGAGATGAGAAAACGATAAAATTTTTATAGATTTTTATAGCCATTTTTAAATGAAAAAATATTTTGAAAGAAATATCTTTTTATTTCGAAATAGCATCTAAGAATTTTTCGTATACATTTTCTTATCTCTGACGTTATAATTCCAACGTCGGCGAGGAGCCTTAATAATAAATATTATATATATAAATCACATTAAGCATATTATATTAAATATACCAAATTTGTTTTCTTATAATTATATATATAATGTATGGTTTATTATTGCTTGCTACTTATAGTTTATTGTTTCTATAAATTGACAATATTAAATATAATATGTATTGAAATTTAGTGTGGTATTGCCAGTAGAAACTTTAAATTTTAATTTATTTATAGTTGACCAAAACTGGCATCACTTTATTGTATAAAAAATTAAATATAATAGGCTACAAGTTAATTAGTCATGTCATTAAAGCATTTAATTCCTTAAAGCTTACATAGATTTGTCAAAATTTGCATATTACTTACTCATGTTCAGTGTTATGCTTGGATGATTTTAAAATTAGCTAGATAAAGATGATTTTGTTTTAAATATATCCAGATAAAGGATAAAATTATATGGCGATTCATCTAGATAACTTCCTGATATTTTTATATTATTAAAAAAAAATTAAATTATAGAAGGGATATAAAAATATATTCATACTTTTATTAATAAATACTTTTATTAATAAGATTTTATTGCTTACTACTTGATTCTACTAATTGAGTATTTGTATATGCTATGACTCTAAACCAAATTATCTGAACATTATTTTAGATTTAATTTAGTGAAGATAAACTTTTTTTTATCTAAGATGCAAATATAGATAATATATTTTTTTATTATTTATATAAAGACAGATGATGCCAAATTTTCATCTAGATGATCTACCCAGATAGCCACAGTAATTATTATGACATCATTTTAACATCAAAATGATGTCATAATAATTACTGTGGCTATCTGGGTATATAATTTTCATCTAGATGATCTATATATATAATTTTATTTAGATAACAGCAAACACTGCTTATATATTTCTTTGAATTTATACAAACTATGAATTTTTAGCAAGCTATAATAAACTATGTACTATAAAATTCCAATTTTAATCAAATAATTCTGACAACTGAATAAATTGAATTTTATTACCTGTACTCGTTCAAACTCTCCTTGAACATATTGCTGCGCCTTATTTAAAGAAGAACTACAATTTTCTACACAGTTATGAACCTTCTGTATGCTATATGTTTCATTTTCGCAACATTGTGCAGCACACTTGTGCATATCTCTCTGAAACCAGATGTAATTTATGTTTAAAAAACATAAAATACAAAAATAATAATTGAAAATTGCTACTATTAAAAGAATAGATCTCTGCACTATGTAATTTTCTTCTGTATAATTTGAGTATATCATAAACTTGTAATAAGGTAAGAATTTCTTTTGAACGTCAACTAATATGTGTATATGTGTATATGATAATATATAAATTATTAAAGTATAAATAAGTATAAATTATTAAAGAGTATTAAAAATTTAAATAATATTCCATACATTGCACAAAGATCCTTTATATTTTAATTTTTATACATATATAGATTGTTTTCTTTTTAATAAAATAAAAAATCTTTTATGAGAGACCCTAAAGTTTGTGATATAAATATATTTCACATTCACATAATAAATTATGTCATCAAATAATTTATGGTTGTAGTAGCTATATTGCAAATTGTTATATAAATTTATTTGATTGATATAACACATTCTCTAATAAAAAATATTATTATAACAGCTTAGTACTATTTTTATTTTTGATATTGAACGATATTTTTAATCTTATATTTTTATTTTATTTGTGTAAATGTAAAAATATATATATATATATATACAAATAAAATTCATAAAAATCAATAAGCAAATTTATAATTCTGTATAGAAATCTAATTGTAAATATAATCAATATTGGTTTTATATATAAAAAAACAAATTTTTTATCACTCAATAAAAATACCTGCATTTTTCGTAAATAAGTTTTATCAATTTCCTCGACTATTTTTGTCATATGATCTTCTACTCGTTTTTTTCTGTTCTTCCATTTTTATTTTGCTTTATTATTATAAAATTTTGTGATGCAAAATATAAAATATATAAAGCACGTGTGAAATAGCCGTAGATGTATAACACATATAGACGTATTATACGTCTGTAGAAATAGGACACCGTCCGCCATTAATAGGAAAATGTAGCGCGCAATTTGAAAGACTTATATCATTCTATTCTATTTCTTCCATGTAAATAAATAATAAAAAATTATTCTGCAATATATTATTTATATTGTCTATTTGTAATTTATGTTTAGCTTTATTGACAAAGATAACATTTAAATATATAAAATATAAAATATAATAACATTTTACAATCACCAGCATTAAATAAAATAATATAATTATATTAAATAATAATAACAATTATAATTAAAGAAAATAGGTCCGTAGTTTTTACAAACTTGTTAATTTTACATATTTAATATAATATAATTTTTATAATTATTTTTAATTTATTTTTATATTAATCTCAAATTTTCAATATCCTTTTTTAGCAAATTATATTTTTATTTCTGTTATAATATAGAATTCAAAATTATTAAATTGATTATTTGAAATTGGATGAAAAATGGAAAATTGTTTGTTTAAAGTCTATTTGAACTGCAAAATGAAAAACTCAATTTTTATACAAATTAAAAATCTCGAGTTTTTAAATTAAATAAAAATGATTTAAATTTAATTTTATGTTAATTATTTATTTCATTATGTTAAGTGTAGAGAGAGGAAGGATTTTGTTGAAAATTCTCTGATTTGCAAATATTTCAAAATTCTAATAAGTAACTAATATTTTCTACAATCATACTAATTCAAAAGAAAAAATTAAGAATTATTTAAATATCAAGTATTAGATGCAAATACAGAAAAGAAGAAAATTTTAATAATATAAGTATATTTTTCACTTGCATAATATATTTTTATTGTTTTACCAAGAATTACAATAATTAAGTTTTTGTATTCTGCAAACTCGCGAATCATACATAGATTTGCCGTTGTATCGCTATTATAATTAGTAATTTGGCCGATCGATAAATTGACGATTATTTGCATTAAAAAGGCAAAATTATCAAAGAGACAATTTTTTTTAAATCCTTAAGTTCTAATAAAATTGCATGAAAATTTCCTGCTTCTTCAAGGAAAAAAATATTTCCTGAGAATTTCAAATTTTCCAAATTTTTACAGGAAATAGAATTTAAGTTTTATTATTGAGAATTAGAATACATTTAATAGAATATATAGTTGAAAAATCAGAATAGTGCGGAATAAAATATGCGGGAAACGTTCTACTATAGGCTTTAGTGATCATATATATGTTTAGTTACAATTATTATTGCTTCTAGCAATACAGTAATGATAGTCAGCAATTTATATATCTCGTTCCTATATATATATTGAAAGATAGTGCCAAATATATTAAAGTTATATTAATTTATTGCATTCGCAAATATTATTAAAACGCGTTAGAGCATAGCCAAAATATTTTCCTTTGTGATTATATTTTATTAAATATTATGTATAAGATTCATTATGCGGTAATAAGGACACAAGAATATAATTGTGTGCCATTGATATTAAAATATCTTAATATATTAATTGAATCAACAATTTTAAAGAACATATATGTTATTCTAATAGACTAAGAATTATAATTATAAATATATATATTTTAATAATAATTCCTAGTTTATTAGATACATATCCCTAGTTTATTTTACACACCTATACACACATACATGCACTCAAACATACATACAGACAGACATATATATACATATATGTATATAAATATATATATATATATATGTATATATATATAATTCTTCTTTCTTCTTTTCTCTGTCTCTTTCTTTTTCTTCCTTTCTTTTTCTCTATTTTATTTCTTCTCTTGCTTTTTTCTTCTTTCTTCTATAAAATATAGTAAATTGTACAGCATAATATTACCTATTAATTGAATTGTTACACCTGCATTGCTCTGTTGCAGCAACATTGGAATATATTCGAGACGTAATATGAGGTAAAGATCCGAGAAGATTAGCGCCTTTTAGAATACCGGCAAAACCGCTTTTTCCTAAGAAACTGTGAGTACATTTATAAAGGCGAGTTTGCAGAATCAGCACATCATCGAGATCTTGTTCGCTGTAATATAATATTATATTTTAATTTATTTTGTAGATTTTAATTATTTTACATATAATTTTTCTACATTTATTTTCTGCGTTCTCGAATATATGTATAATATAAAATATTGTTTTCTGCAATATATAAAAAATATTCCTTTCTTAGATATATATGAACGAGATGTGATAATTTGTCTATTATAACACTATATTATTATTTTCCTACTATATTACATATAAAAGCACACCAATATATAATAGGAGAATTATCATTTCTCGTTTATATATAATATGCAGAAAAAATATTATACAAAAGAGATCCTATTCAAAAATTATGCTCTTTTCAAATCACTGAACCTCAGCCAAAACTCATCATAGACTAAAAATTAAAAACGCATTTAAAACTTGAATTTTCAACTTAGATGCGGTTCAAAATCGATGATTGTTACAAATTTTATCTTTCTGTTCTATGCTTTAAAAAATATGATTACATATTTTGACACTCTGCATCTCGATAAAAAATTTTTTCTCGAAAAATTACACGCAAATTTCATAAGCTACAACATTTTGCCTACAAAACACTATTTTTATAATTTTTATATGATTTTTTTGATCGAATTACAGGATTTTGTAATTAAATCTGTATTTTTCAAAACAAGAAAAATTAAGAAATTTTGTTAAATCATAGCGTTAAAGTTGACACTTCAAGCTTCAAAATGTTTTTTAATTTTTTGTCTATGATGATTTTTCGCGAATATATCGACATCATTTCTAAAAAATATAGATTTAGCTTTAAAATTAATAATTCGGTAAAAAAATGTTTATTTTTAGCACGGTACAAAGAAATTAAAAAAATTTTGAAAAACCACCCATAGCGTTTTAAAATTAAAATTACAAGCTTTAAAATACTTTTTTAAATTTTAATTTATGATGATTTTTCATCAAGTTTTAGTAATTCCAAAATAGCATATAATTTTTAGGATAGATGTTCCCTATTTTTTTTAAAGTAGTATATATATTGTTTATATACTACTATATATGTATGTATACCTTGCTGCAGCCAAAAACTTCTGAAAGAGTTTATTAGAAACAGTACGAGGCCGATCTACCGCATCTTCATAAAAATCCGTTTCTCTATTATATAGATGCAAAAAATCGGAAAGTTGTTTTGCTGTAATGGCAGCTCGATCCTTGTTACTTAATTTATTGCATGGTAGCTACGGAAAAAAATTATTAATTCAAATATGAATGATCTAGAGTTAGTATTTCTTATGATCTACATTCTACATTATAAAAATATTATTAAATTTTGGTTATTTGATCTACATTATAAAAATATTATTAAATTTTGATAATTTGATATAATTTTGTATTAGGTATTTTTTTTATACGTGCGTGTATACAAATTGATTGTAGGTGATCACGTTATATATCTTATCATTCTATAATTAATATGATCAAATATACATAAGATTTGATAAAATACATGACTGAGCTCGGAAGCATCATTCTTGAAAATAAAGAATATTAGATTGTGACGTCAGAGGTGAGAAAGCATCCGCTGAAAATTGTTAGATTTAAAATAAAAACATATTTTGAAACCTTATACTTCAGTTGGCTTTAATACACTCGGCGTTCCATTTCACGTATATGCGCGCATTTATGTATAGTACACATCACATTTACTATAGAAAACGCGCGCATATGTGTGAAACGGAACGCACTTTTAAAAATATCTCGAAAACTATCTTTTTTATCATGCTCGCCTCTGACGTCACAATTCCAACATTAGATGAGGAGCCAGTAGTCTTAAAATACTAATTTGCTAAACTATTAAAATGTCTTGTAGAATAAATTTATCTAAAGTATAAATTGCATAAATAACTATCAAATACATACTGTAAATAAAAATGGTGACCTCAAATTGTACGATGAATGTTGGAGAAACTTCATAACAAGATCGCAACATACTGGATCTGCATTAGGCTGTGATATTTTTCGTAATATGTAGCTTAAATATAAACCAAAAGCTTTCCTCGCTTCACTAGGACTGAAATATTATTTATTTGATTTAATGTTTTTCATATAAAAAAAAACAAACAAAATAATAATAAAGCAGATAAAAATTATTTAGACAAAATTCACATACAACACAAACCTGAGCTTGTTGCCTTCTTGCATTAATGTCATTACTTGGCTTTTATATTTGTGCATATCTAAACCCAAATTCTCTTTATTATTTCTTCTATCCAAAGTTTGTTTATGACCCTTTACCAATGCTCTTTCGTATCTTTCGTATCTAAAATTAAATATATATATTTATTAACTTTTATAAAATTAAATAGAGTGTATTACAACTAATAATTCTATATTTTTGGTTATAATCTTTAAATTAAAAAATAAATTAAAAGATGTTTTAAATAAAAATTGCAAGAATTAAAGAATAGAATGTTAATTTATTAACAAAAATAGATTATTATTCAAAAAACAATTAAATTGATCTTGAAAATCGTTATCTATGTAATATTCAAGGTCATTATATTATCTTCAAAATTCTAAATTTTTTAAAACTTTTCCCAGATATTTAAGTATTATTTCGAAATGAGGATATTTTAAATATTATTTTAAAATGGAATTATATAAACCTGCCTGCATTAAATCTTGTATATCAAATTATAATATGCTAATTAAATAAATTGATAAATTATATAGAAAATAATATGTTTTGATATATATTTAATCATTTAAATAAGATAGATAACTTTACTATATTAGCTTTAGAAATATGGATTTCATCAAATCAAATAATAGAAAGTTTAAGATATAAATTTGGATATATAAAATTTGAATAACATTAGAATCTGTTTTTGTCATTTTTTATCGATTTTTTAAATAAAAAATTATAATAAAAAACACATAGACAAAAAGTAAGTATTCATGATGCGACATACCTAGATAATCTGCCTAATGTTATTTCTGGAATAATATAATCAATATTATGATTGGCAACAGGAAACAATTGTTCATGTAACATTAGATTATGATTAGAATTAACATGTTGCGGTAACTTTCTTAGGCCAAACTGATCCGACATCATGGAGTCACCTGTAATTAAATCTAAAGCATAAAATTAATTTGCAAGATCTAGTATATTTGGTTTAACAAAAAAAATTCATTTATACTTAAATTGATTATCTGACAAAAAATAATATTTACCCAAGTATTGCGAGTAAAGTTCCCAAGATTTCGGACTTGGAAATATTCTTACAAATCCACCTCTCCTCTCAAATTGTGCTTTTGCAGACGCTACTATTCGTTGTTGCTCTGAAGTTAGACCTTTAATTCTATTACTCTTATTAGTATTCTTTTTTCCCTGAGGTAGTGTTTCTGCAGATTGTACTCTTCTATACTAAAAAAAAAAGAACAAGAATTTGTTTAATCTGCATTATTATATTCCTTAAATCATTTATCTATAATTTGCCAGTTCCTACTTTTCAGACAAGAGAAACGATAATTCGCTATTCTTATCACTTAATTATATCTTTCTCTAAAAAAAGATAACAATATAATTTATATAATGCACTACTAAAAAAAATAGGGAACATTATTTTTCCTATTCTAAAAATTGTTATTTTCAAACCGCTGAAACTCGGCGAAAAGTCATCAATACAAAATTGATACCGGTTTAATTTCAAAATCAATAATTTGTTTTAAAAAATCATAGGAAAATAAAAGTAGCATTTTGTTGGAAAAATGTAGTTTGTGAAAATTGAGTAGAATTTTTCGAGACATTTTTTTATCGAATTGCAAATAAGTGTAAAAATACGTAATTTTAAGGAGCAAAATCATATGTTTGTTTTTGATACAGAACGAAGAATTTAAAAATTTTGAAAAATTACTGATATTACATTAAAGTTAAAATTGTAAACTTTAAAATGCTTCTTTAATTTTTGTCTACGATGATTTTTTTCGCCGAGTATCGACATTGTATTAAAATAATATAGATTTACTTGCAAATTATGTCATTTGGTCAAAAAATCGTAGAAAAATAAAAAAAAGCGTTTTTTTTTAATTATGTCCATTTAATTCATAAATTTTAAAGTTGTTTTTCACACTTGTTAATATCGCTTATAGTTGAAAAAATCCAACTACAAAATCATGTCTCTAGTGATTACGTGACGTCATTATATCGCCGAAAACGAGCGAAGAGCGATACATGAAAAGATACCTTTACTTTTTAAGTTATTACAACTGTAACTTATTATTTTTCAGAATCTTAACTGTTAATTGTAACTATAGTTACTTTTTCAATAAAAAAAACTGTAACTGTAATTTTAGATATTTTTACAAAATAACTTTCTCAACCTGGATTTGAAAATAGCATAATTTTTAAGATAGAAAGTGTTCCCTACTTTTTTAAATTGTGTGTATACGCGTATAAAATAACTTACTCTAGTAATCTTCTTATTGGAATTAACGGCAGCACGATTTTGAGAACGTAGAATTGGATCGATGGCAGGTATGCCGACAAGAGTAAACAAATCTGCTATTAAAGCTGACTTAAGTCTAACATCTAATGGCGAATCGCATCCTAAAGAGGGAGTTAAATTTACTTCCAGTAACCAAGGCTTCAGCGTATCGTCGATTAGTATATCAAAGCCAAATAGTTCTGAAATCAAAACAATATATCTATATATGAAACGATGCATTATACATATATTTATATTTAAATTAATTATATTTCTATATAAGGTGTTTACCATTTTAAATAAGTTTACAGTGCTATATCTCAAGTAACAATCTGGCGTCATTAATGTCAAAATGACGTCATTTTGACGTCTAATTGCGTCACGATTATTTTATTAAAAAATATTATTTTAAATATAATATAATTATATTATGTAAATACTTTCTTTAGTGTTTATCATAAAATAATAATTATTCGTTGATTTTACATGCACATTAAAAATATTAATTTTTAGCTTTTTCTTGTATATGTATAATGAAATATTTTTAAAATATATAATTCATATATTTATATTACGATATATTAATATTTTTAAAATATATAATTCATATATTTATATTACGATATATTAATAAATGTTAAAAAGAGAAATATATTCTATTTAATTTATATATTTATTAGAAAAAAATAATAGAATTATTACCGAAACATGTATCAGGATGTTTCACGAATTGCTTTAAACCACTGACAATTCCAGATGCAGTAGCAAGGATTGACTTTATAATAATATCTTCGATTCGCTGCATCAGCGATTCCGTGTCTTGGCCCATTGAACGCAAATGTCTGAGCAAGGCCGACAATGTCCATTTATGTCCTACATTTTCGGCGTCAGGATCTTCACTCCTAATCATATATTAAACCCTTTCTACATACCTTTTTTATAGCAATTATTCGATTTATGTTATTTTTTATTTGCAATTAATTATAGGCTCCTTTTTATTTCTCTATAATTTTTTTACCTTAGCTTTCTATCTTTTTTCCTTCTGTTTCATTCGTTGTTTACACTACTACTTTGTCATATATTCTCATCTCTTATTTTACTCTTTTTTCCTATTATTTTTGTTACTATTTCGCAAATTTTGTGTGAATTTTAATACTTACATTATAATACAGAGACATTTGAAAATGTTTAAATAAAGTAACAAGTAAAAGTGTATATCAACAATTTATATTTGTTAAGTGACTATTCTATGCAAATAAGTTTTGTTATCATTTAAAGACTTGAACATATTTAGCTAATTTTTTATTTCATGTTATTTTTCGTCATAGGTATATAATTTTATCATAATACTCTGACTATATATTATTTATAACTTACTTTACATAATCCACGTGAAATTTATTTATACTGTAGTTGCAAAGATGCATGCAAGGATTCCAGATGTATTGATTTCGGCCGTCATATTTAACAGCTGCAAATCTCACTAAGCCTTCTTCGTATAAATAAATTAGCAGAGGATCGTAATTCGTTACAGCTACGTAGAGACGTAAATCGCACTTGTGTCCATCAACTAAAAGCGGATTGTTTATGTATTGTGCTACGATAACTGATTCATCCGTCAGGATCTTCTCAGGCTATAACAGCATAATGAACAATTGGATATAAATATATTATATTGTATAGGATGTCCCAAAGGAAATTGCTGCAACTAATCAGTTGTCATTTTTTAATGCATGCAGTTAGAGAAAACAAAAATTGTGTCGAAATGAGGAGTCTGCAATTTTTAATGGATATAAATAAAATGTGTCCATTTTACATAACAAAGTACATGTAAAAAAGAGAGAGATAAGCGAGATAATTTTCATCAAAAAACAAAAGAATTCCATTAATTTGCAAAGGAACACTGAAAACTTAAATGATATGTACAATACTATTTTGAATTTATTTTAGATATCGGTATTTTTATTAATTTTAATCTCTCCTATTTTATTTTATTTCCGTTTTTATTTAAGTAGAGTTTATGTATAATTTGTTTTTACCATTTATGAAGTGTTTAAGAAGCGTCCCTATGTTTATATATTTTGTTTATTTAATTTTATTTTATTCGGTTGACTTCTATTTTTCTATTTTTCTTTTTAATTGTGTTATTTATTCGAGAGCTTGTCTGTGTGTCGGTTTAATGTAAAGTTATAAGTCAAAATGAACACTGCTGTTCTTTTATTACTTTCAAGTTTGTCATATTCTGAGTTTAACACTTTATTATATGTATGATTTTCTGTATCCGATTTTTACTGATATTTTTATGTTTTTTTTAACTGAGATGTATAACTTAATTTTTATAGCCTGAAGAGGACCCAATTCGTGATGGAAACGTTGCGTCTTTTTTAATAAAAGATTTTTCACCTTAGCCAGTGTCGGTCAATCAATTTCTTTTATCTTTATTTCAAAATTTCAACTGGCAATCGGATCACTTTTTTGTTATAAATAAAATGCTTACCAGTTTATTTTATTAAAAAAGTAATGAAAAAAGTGCTAATAATCACATATGTAAACTAATGATAAATATTTTCCAAGTGCCGCACCATTTAAATTTGTACAAAATTTTGTTCTTTTACGGAAACTCGTAAAAACTTTTTCCAACATGTCATTTTTAATGTTGTTGACAATTCTTTCAATAGGTGCTATTAAATCTGTAGAAAATATTTATCATTTATGTGATTTTTATGTGATTATTAGCACTTTTTTCGTTATTTTTTATCGATAAGATAAACGGATATATAAACATTTTATTTATATCCATTAAAAACTGCAGACTTTCCTCTTTCCAACAAAATGCTTTCTTAATAATTGCATGCATTAAAAAATAATAGCTAATGAGTTTTAGCAATTTCCTATAAACACCCTGAATTTAGATTATATCAATTGTAAAATTGAATAAAATTGCTAAAAAAGGATCCCGTCTTAAGACTCCTGATTTTTCAACCATGTTGGAATTGTGATTTTTATTAGCGTGTGCTTTCTCGTTCTGACGTCACAATCTAACATGGCCGCGGCGAGGATCCATTAGTGTAAATTATAAAATTTTCTAAACTTCTGTTTTTAATAACTTATTATAAACGCAATGAATAATGGTTAAAATCATTTATTCAAGTGATGACTTTGACCCAAAAGATTAAGAAATGAGATCCCCTTTTTGTCATTTTTATCATTTTTTTCCTTTTCTCTCTCTTTCTAAAGCAATTAAATTTCAGGATATCTCGAATCTTATAAAATTTTTTTTTTAAATTCACTAATTTTCTAGCTAGTTTTGTTCATTTCAGCTACAGAGAAATTTTTTTAGACTTTTTTTGGTGCATCTTTCTATAACAATAAGTAATTTTTTTTATTGTATGCATTTTCTAATACTTTCATTCATACGAAAAAAAATAAAATGTTTCAAGTGTTAGATTTGAAAATATCATGAAAATGTCATGAAAAAAACTGAATAGTTTTATAACATAAACTTCTTCATTTGTATAATATTTTTATTTACTTTTTTTACTAAAAATTACAATGAAGAATATTGTTCTCCTTTTGAATAAACACTAAAATTTATTTGCATATTTAATATAAAAAAATAAAATAAAATAACAAAAAAATTAAAAAAAAAGAGTAAAAAAATTAAAATAAAAAAATTAATTATGTCCGCTTCTAGAAAAATCTTGCGGACGTCCATGTACATATTCAATATTTTATTAAGACTTGGAATATATAGACACAAAGATATTTATAATTATATTTTAAACACATAAAATTCACAAGTCAACCCGCGAATTGTCTGATTATTTTTACAATATATAAGAGTAAAATTTTATCAAACAAATAAATACTTTTAAATTTCTTTTCAATAAACTGAGAATTTCTTTCCAGATACACAAAATTCCTAAGAATTTCAAGTTCTCCAGATTTTTCAAGATATTTTAAATCTCTCTACTTGATGATTAAAAATAAAAATTCCATTGCATAACAGATTACACAAAATACATATATATTATTTATAATAACAATTATTAATTTTGAATAAATAAATGAAATAACATAAACAGATAAATCTTTCCATTTTTTAAATATCTAATTTGAAAAATTAAATCTACTTATGCAATATTGCATATTTTTTAAAATTATTATATTATGTAATAATAATTGGTTCAATTATAAAGTAATTATATTTATAATAATTATTAATTATTAATAAGTTAATTAATTATTAATTGATTAATTATTTATTAATAATTATTAATTATTTAATAATTTATGTTTTACATTAATATGTTTTTTTAATATAATTTTTGGATATCTTTTATATTAAAATTTTAATTTTTTTAATTCCTACGATGAGATAAAAATAATTTTGAGGAAAACCCTGCAACATCTTTAGAGGCTGCAGGACAGAAGAGAAATAAAATATTTCCCATTGATCAAAATCGCCAAAACAATTAAAATATTACTCTTAGACCAGTTGAGAAACTAAAAAAATCCATCCTTCGAGGAGATCCATTTTAGATTCTGGGAAGGACCAATTATGAAGATATGCATTAATAAGTACTAGTTGTAGCTTTAAAAATGGAGAACTCCAAAAGAAGCTCAGCAAAATAGAGTTTTTCACTATATAATTAAATTAACAACGAACTTGTTGCACTAAAGGGTGAACAGCAATTAAATTGTTTCGAATGCATCATACGAGTTGTGTATTTAAAGCAATAAAAAGGCATTATAGAAATTGTTGTGCGTGTATTCTTACATTATTAACAATGTAAATACCACGGCCTCGTGAGCTGGCTTTAGGCTTAACAATCCATGGCCCTCTATATCTAAAATGTGCTGAAATCAATTCTTTGGCTTCAGTAGGCAGTAAAAATGTCTGAGGTATAAAATCGAGATTTCGAAGGCCTTTACTTCTCTGCATAGCTTCGATGTTTTTGTAAAGACGGTCTTTACGGGTAATTTCATAAGATCTAAAAGATAAAGTCTTAAATAAAATTGAGAAGAATTAGTCAATATTTTTATATTCCGTTTAGTTTATTATGAACATTTAAATATATTTTTGAATATTTTCTTTTTAGTAAAATTTATATAGATATATTTTTGAGTAATTGAATGTGGATATTGAATATTTGAATTTCGAATATATGCAAATTTGATTTCAGTATATTTTAATTATTTAAATTGTTCTAAAAATTTGTTTTGTTAAAATTGTTTTATAAGGTTCCATATATAAATCATTTTTTTTTTACTTAAAGAAACCGTTTCTTAATTATAATGTTCTTGTTTACCTAGGAAAATGATTCACTTTTTGATAAGGCAATAAATTCCGCAAAACATCTGGCTTAGGATGATTTCCCATCCATAATATATTAAAATCCATTTCATTCATAGACACCTATAAACAAAAATATTAATATAATGAGATTTTTACTCATAAGACTAACGAAAAATATTTTTTGTTATTTTACTCTAATTTAAACAGATAATACTTAAAAAAAACACTTTATTTAATTCACGTGCTATCTATTTACACAATTTTAATTATCAATCTATAGTAATTGAATTTGTGTGAATTTAAATTTAAAATAGAAATGTTTTTTTTATTTTTTTAAATGTATTTTATATGCAAAATATAAAATTCACATCTCTGAACAAATAGTATATATTGCTAATACTTTACCTCCATTAAGCCATGTGATTGCAGCAAAACATTAATAAGTTTAGTGTCTGTTTGAAAAATCTTATAAGTCATATGTAGCTGTTTTGCAGGTGGATTTTCTGGTGGCGTGGCTAAAGCGGAACATCTGAGAAATAAATAGAAATAGTTATTTGAAGATTTAAACAATCTTAAAATTACAAAGTTGGATTCGACCATTAATTAGCTATTGAAAAATCCTTTTCCACAATTAAAAAAGTACTAATAATAATGAACTGTAGATATTATAATTTTATCTGAAAAAAAAGTTAAAAAATTATATTTTTTATTAGCCTTTTTTAACGTTTTAAATTTTTTTACATGAAATTATAGCGTTTGTTATTATAATTATTAGTACTTTATAATTATAGAAAAGTATTTATTAATTTGTATCAATAAAAATATTTGGTAATTTGAACTTATAAATTTATAAAATATATAATGATGAAATAAGGCTCGTATAATAATAATCAAATAAAAAATTAGCAAAGAAAGCCGTAACAAGGTGTTCGTGTTTATATGTAATACTTTAATATAAAAAATTTAAAATACAGACGTTTCGATTTGATTTCAGATCATCTTCAATGTAATAACCTAATAATACAATATATAGCTATATGCAAAGTAACGATCAAAAAACTTGACAATTATTCCAGAAAAGTCTTAAGATAAAATAAAATAAAGCGACAATAACGCACGCAATCTATAAGTTGAGTAAATATAAACTGAAACTTTCCAATCTGTAATAAAATAAAAAGATTAGTGGTCAACTTTTTATCGGTAAAACAGATGGCTTTAGAATTTTTTTAAGGATATACATACGAGTATGTATATACAATTGTACATACAAAAACAGATGGCTAATAAAGCCATCTGTTTTAGCTATAAAACGCGAAGTTGACCACTAATCTTTTTATTTTATTATAGATTAAAAAATCCTTTTCCACACTTTATATTACTGTTACTTAGTGTTTAGTGGGAATTTAATTACAAAGTAAATTGTATTTTGTTTTAAGAGTCATATATTGTATGTTCTTACAATATTTTTAATTAAAACGAAACACAGATATTTCCAAACAAAAAACCATTTATTGATTACGTTTTAATGATTTCAAAAAGAGCTACGTATATATACAAATATTATTTTTACTATCAAAATCAATTGAGAACTTTTTAATTTATTAACTTAAACTTATTATTATTAAATTGTTTTAACTTATTATAAACTTATAGTGTGTTTCTCTCGCAGCAAACGATTTTTCTGTCCAAGAGAAAAATCGTAATTATCACTAACTGTTCATTACTTAGCTTTGAGTCTATTAAATTTTTTATTCAGTAGATCATATAAGAGAACAACATATGGGAAAACCAGCTTATTTTACCGGGATTCAATTTTATATACAGGATTAGTGCAGCGTTTATTAAATTTTAATCAGTAAGAATATATATGAAATTGGAAGAGTAATGAGTACTATAGTGCATCGGTTTTAATAAAAATTAACTTTTTATTAAAACTGATTTATTATGTATAGGGCATAAAATATTTTTTTGATGTAATATCAATTAATTAGAATAAATCTCAATTCAAGATTTATTTTAATAATTTTTATTAATTAATTCGAGATTTATTTTAATAAATCTCTGATTTTTCTAAAGGAAAAGAGTCAAAAAATTTTAATCTGTATTAAATTAAGAGCCTTCCTAATTTCTTAGTTGTTTGTCCAAATTTTATGATCTGTGCGAGAATATGTACTCAATGTGGCGGATTTCACACAAAGCGCTCAACTTTTCGTGTTATTTAATTAGATAATATATACAAGGTATCCCATAGAAAATTGCTGAAACTTTAATCAGCTGTCATTTTTTCATGCATACAGTTATTGAGAAAACAAAAATTGTGTTGGAAAGAAGAAAATCTGCAGTTTTTAATGGATATAAATAAAATGTTTGTATACCAGTTTATTTTATTAATAAAAAGTAATGAAAAAAGTGCTAATAATCACATAAAATCACATAAACTAATGATAAATATTTTCAGTGCCAAATTTAATAGCAATTATTAAAAGGATCGTCAATAATATTAAAAATGACATGTTAGAAACAATTTTTACGAGTTTTCGTAAAAGAACAGAATTTTGTACAAATTCAAATAATGCGCACTTTGAAAATATTTATTATTAGTTTACATATATGATTATTAACACTTTTTTCATTATTTTTTTTCAATAAAATAAACTGGTATACAAACATTTTATTTATATCCATTAAAAACTGTAAACTTTGCTCTTTTCAACACAATTTTTGTTTTCTCAATAACTGCATTAAAAGATGACAGCTGATTAGTTTCAGTAATTTCTTATAGAACACCCTGCATAGACACCTAAATAAAAATTAGATAGTGTTTTAGATCATTTCTAATTTATATCAACTTACTTAAAATATAATACAGGTGTCTTTTTTCCATGTGGTCCATTCAATAACCATTCGTTGTTTTGTGTATTTCTTGCATTTGTTGTACTGTAAATAAATATTTATAAAATGTTAAATATGATTTTAAAATATATATCTTCTTTGAAGTACTTATCAATTTGAAAGATATGAGTGCCAAAAGCTTGCAAAACACAACAAATAGTGGCAGATTTTGATCATTTATTTGACATATGTTTAATTTAAACACATACAAAATTTTCCAAAATATTTAATAAAGCTATTAAAAAGATATGTGCAAATTAAATTTATAAATAATATTATATGATTCACTACTTTAAAAAAATGCATAATGTTATTAAGAAAAAAATGACAATGTCTTCATTAAAATTAAAACTTTTCGATATTGAATAACAATTGAAGCGTTGTTAGCATTGTGAGATGTATATGTACTAAACAAAGAGAATTTCTCATTTTCATTAATGACAAGATTAAATTAAGACGCTTTAGAACATTTTTTTCGATAATGAGGCATTAAAGCAAATGCAAATTTTACATTTATATACAATTTTAACGAGCATTTAAAAGAAATTTCGTACATTAAATTCTTAAATTCTCGAAACTGCTGTTAGTGCAGTTATAAGATTTCAAAAAAAATTACAATCCCTTCGAAGATTCAAGATCTTCAATAAATATCAGCCATAATATTGTAAAATTATGTATTTTCATTTTTGGATTCATGTTTATAGGAACTTCTTTCCTTCTTTTGAATACGCTCTAAAATACGTCCTTAAAATCTCTGACATAAATTTAAGAACACCCTGTATATTTGTAGATATTTAATTAAAAAATATTTAATACAGCACAGAAGTAATATACGTAAAAATTATGCAAGCACATAAAGATCCAGAAAAAAGACACTTTTTTGCGAAGTATATTAAATAGAGTTAAATGCAATATTTGGAAATTGATATAATATATATTTTAATATAGAAAGAAAACAAAGGAAAAATAAAAATGTATATATTAAAATTTATTAATAAAAGTTAAAAAATGATGTATAATCGAAGAGCAAAGAAAAAACATTCAGAAAAATTATAACTTAAAGATATAATTAAATTTATTAATAATAATAAAAAAATAATGAGAAAAATTTTATTAAAATTAAAATGTAGTAAAAAGAACTTGTTATAATAAAATGTTTATTGTTACAAAATAAAATGTTACATATATTATTTAATATAAATAGATATATTATTTAATTAAATAATTTAAATAAATTTTCAAAATATGCATAATTGTTAGGAAATATTTTTCGCATCCTAAAATTAGGCTATTTTTCAAACCGCTGTAACTAGAAGATAAATTATCGTAAGATAAAAAATTAAAAGCATTTTGAAATTTGAAATTTCAACTTTAACGCATTATCGGTGAATTAAAAAATTTCAATTTCCTTATTTTGTGCTTTAAAAAAAGAACACATGGTTTTGTTCTTTAAAATTACATATTTTTGATACTCTGTAACTCGATAAAAAATTTCTCTCAAAAAATTCAACTCGAGTTCCATAAATTACATTTTGTCTACAAAACATTATTTTTTAAATTTCTTACAATTTTTTTCTGATCAAGTTACATAATTTTGTAATTAAATCTGTATTTTTTAAAACTAAAAAAATAAAAAAATTTTGTAAAATCACAGACAGCGAGCAAAAGCTTGGCAGTTTCAGCTTCAAAATGTTTTTTGTCTACGACAATTTTCCTTTGAGTATCGACATTGTTTCTAAAACATACAAGTTTAGTTTGAAAATTAATAACTCGGTCAAAAAATCACAGAAAAATGTTTGAAATAGCATTTTGTTAACAAAATGTTGTAGTTTATGAAATGTGAATAGAATTTTTCGATATAAATTTTTTGATCTATAGCTGCAGAGTGTCAAATATATGTAATTTTAAGGAGCAAAAAGCAAGTGTTTATTTTTAACACAAAATAAAGAAGCTATAAAAAGAATTAAAAAAACCATCGTTAACGCATTAAAGTTAAAACTGCAAGCTTTAAAATGTTTTTTTTAATTTTTGTTTACGATGATTTTTCGCCGAGTTACAGCGGTTTGAAAATAATCTAATTTTTAGGGTACGAAAAACGGTCCATTTTTTAAAATAGTATATTAACAATAAAAACAATTTATGCAACATTATACAATATAATTTGTATATTTATTTGTTTCATATTAATTATTCTATATATTGTTTATTAAGAGAGAGTTTCAAATTTTCATTAATCATATTATAAGCATCTTCCCTATAAGCGCATGATATTATTTAATATTTAAGCAATATTCTAGGCGTATTTTTAGAATATTTAATATTCTAAGAATACGCCTAGAATATTAAATAATATCATGCGCTTATAAAGTTTAGATATTCATAATAAGAAACTAGTATTAGTAAATACTAGTAATAGAAACTACTAGTAGTAAATATCTTTTCATTAAAAATATAACGTCACAATCTTACATGGCCGCGGCGAGGTCTCAGGAGTCTTAAATTCGAATTTTCAAACATTGAAAATGCAGACAGAGAATGTCCACCATAGACATCTTTGTGACCATACATATATTTTTGTGACCATATATATATTTCTATGCTAGTTAAACATTCGACATATTCATGAAAAGTTTTATTTTGACTTTTTTTTAGAAAATTGCTTTGTAACAGCCCTGATATCTTACAGATAATAAATATCACTTTAATATGGCTTCTTTCGATCAATAGAGATCTATACTGTGGATTTTTAAAAAAATAGTATTTTTTATCTATTGTTTTTATTTTAATATGGCGTCTACAATTGTCGATTCGCAACAATATTTGAACAAATTGTATGTATAAAATAAAAATATAAACCCATCTCCTGGTTTAAATTATACTAAATTGTAATATATAATTATTAAAATTAGACTGTAAGAAGATTAAAATATAAAAAATTGTTTAAAAGATTTTAGGAAATTTTAAAAGAATTTTTATATTTTGCGTTTGTATTAATCAATGATTGTTAATCAAATGTTCGAGAAAACATATATGCAGAAAAAAATAAATATCATTTAGAAATAAATAAACTTTTTTAAACATTTGATAATGTAATATTTAAATTTAAATTCTAATTAATTTCTTTCAATGTATCCAAACCGTTGTAATATCATATATAATAAGACAAAACAAATATCAAAATTAAATAAATATTACTTATTTTTCAATAGATCGAAGCTCAAGAGTAAAACAGAGCAATACATTAATACACGTGATGTTGCGATAGATAGAGCTGCAATCTCTTGCAATCTAACCTAACAAGGACAGACATAATCGCAATTCTATCTATCGCGAGATCACATGACTAATCCACCATTCTGTTTTATTCTAAACCTCAATTTCGCACACACGTATTTATAAAAATTTCACACAAAAGTATTCTTTTTTATTAGGCTTTTAAACTTATATCTGAAAGTTTACTTAAATTCCTTCATGCAATTCTGAATTCGGACTAGTCTTATATTTTGTACAAACTGCAAAACTTTTATATTACACAAGTAATGTTACGCACTGACGCCAGAAGTCTATAAAAAAAGTAATTTTGTAACTTTTAATTTTTGATATAAAATGAGAATTCCACTTTATTACTACATGTACTTTAATCGTGGAAAAGCATTTAATATTCTATCCACTCAATAAACAAATATATGCAAAAAATAAGCATTTGGGTCGGTAAAAGAGATGATTTTAGGATCCCGCTTTCCACTTTGAATTATCACAAACGCAAATAATTGCCCTACAAAAGGCAACTATTAATATAAAATCCAAACTGTAATCTTTTTCTACCAATTTAAAATAAATTTCTAATCTCAAAGAATTCAGAATATCGGACAGATTATTAGAAATAAAACAGATGAATAGGAAATCATTTAGTGCCTATTTGAAGCGAAAAATAAGAATTTAATTTTTGTGTAAATTAAATCTCGAATTCTATAAATTAAACATAATTTATTTTATAATTTGTTAGAATTAAACGATTCAATTCGTTGTGCTACATGTAACAACGATATTACATGTACTTATAACATGTTATATTCATGAGTAGGAAATTATAATTAATCGGTAGTTCTTGTGTTGGTAATATTTATGTATTATTATAAACACAACACTGAATATTAGGATAGATATTAGGACGATATTTATTATTAAGTAAACCTTTCAACACAAGAAAAAAAATTTATCGCTATGTTAATAAATAACTTCTTAGAAAACAGTTTATAACACTTGTAAATCATTTTGTATGTGTATATTGTGCATATGCAAACATGTGTGCGTGCGTCCTTGCGCGCATATGTAATTTTTACTCACTTTTCCAAGTTATCAGATGTACAGGGTTTATATACAAAGGCCTCCAATGTTTCCTCACTGCTATTGGATAATTGCGACATACCGGAAAGACTGGAAGAGGACATAAGCTCTTTTGTACGCTTCCTTTCCATCCTTTCTATTATATTAGTATTATTTCTTTTGGTATTGTTTCTTTGAGACATCATGGATTATCTGAAAACTAAAATTTAAAATATATATATATATATATATATATATATATATATATATAGAAGAGTAAAGTTTAAACGGGAAGGCTCCTATTGATACTCGCCGCGGCCATATTAGATTATGACGTCAGAAGAAAGAAAATACATGCTGAAAAATTGTTATGTTCCATATTTAAATAAAAAATATTTTGATGAAACACAACTTTGAATGGCTATAGCACACTTTTAAATACTTCGAAAACTATTTTTTCCCTTAACATTCAATCATCAACCATAAAATCACAGTCATTTTACAGCTGTTGATTAATTAATTATAAAAAAATGGAAAAAGATAGTTTTCGGAATATTTTAAAAGTATGACATTAAATATTCTAAATAATGTACAATCTAAATAATCTAAAATTATGTATAAGTTTTGTATCTTTCTTCATGACAGAATAGCCTATACTTTTTGCATGGGTTATTATAGAAAGTATAATAGAAAATATTTGAATTATAGATCCACATTAAAATAAGTATATTTTTGATCAAATTGCACCTACTTTTACGATCATTTTAGGACAGATTTTAAAATAGCTTTTCGAAAAGCTCTTACTACAGTTTTGGTTCCAAATATAAAGGGATGTTATATATACTGTTTTATATTCGTATTCATACAAAAATACATTTCATATAAGAAATATTATATTAATATTAATTATATATTAATATTTTTCCAGGCATTACGTAAAAATAAAAATTCGTAGCGACAAAATTGTAAAAACTAAAGAAGCATAAGAATTATTAACCAAAATTATTGATTTGGTGTCATTGCCAGAGGACATTTTTTGAGAAAATTAAAGCGGATATTTCCGAACCGATAAAACATCGTCTTAAATATTATTTCAAATATTATATGAATAATATTTTTGAATAAACCAAGTAAAGTCAATCTGATTTTTTGTATTTACAAGCTTAAACGTAAATAATTTAATTAAAAGATATTATATCGTACATTAAATAAGTTTGGAAATAATTATGATCCGTAAATGTTTATAAATAATAAGTTTTGTGTATTCTTGGTTAACAAATAATAGTTTGTAAAAGATTAAAATATATCTTATTTTCCATATAAATTCTATATACTTTTCTGCTTAAATTTTTTTGATGTGTAGAAAATTAGGAGAATTGCAAGTAACTATACAGAGATTTGGCTACATTGAAAATAAGGAAAGCTCTGACATGTTTACAATACAACAAGATTGTAAAAAATTACGTCCTTTCAAATGCATGAGATAGATTAGACAATGGTCTCTTTGTTGAAAACTTTTTAAGATTAAGCGCGCTATTATTTAAAAATGTAAATATGTTATAAATGTAATTTAATTGTCTTTATATAATTGTTAAAATTTCGTATATTTAACTATATTATAATAAATAACAATAAATTGATTTTAATTATATGTATAATAAAGTTTCAATTTAATAAAAATTATAATTAAACATATGTTTATCAACATGTTATTGTCCATAGTTAAAAATATTTTCAATTAAAAACAATAAATTCCCAGACAGAATCTTGGCCGTGTCCAAAAAACGGGTTATAAGACGGCTTTAATATGTCTTAAAATGTCTTTACAATTAGATATCATAAGACGTCTTATGTCCTGATTTTGAATATATTGCTGTTAGTTAGATAAAGTTTCAATATGATGATGATAAAAAAATAGTTTAAATATACATATTATTAAAGTGTTATTACAAAAATATAATTAAAAATGTAAAATATCTATAAATCTAGAATATCTGTCCAGATAAAAATATTTTCTTATATTTATAAATACATTAATTTTTTATAAATAAAATTAAATTAAATATTTATAAATAACAATTAACTTTGTGTTATTGTATGAAAATTAAAGAATGTATATACTGGTGTGTAAGGCTTGATACTTCTAAATGGAAAATTCGACATTTTGTCTCATTTCTTTTTAAAATTTTCGAAAATTATGGAAGAAAAAAGATTTAAAAAAATAGGATATTTTCAAAAATCTGATTCTGTTGTTATACATATAAAGTAGGCAATCTTACAATTAATTCCTATCTTACAATTAATTAACCATTTAGGGATTAATTCAGATATATTAAATTTTCATATTTTGATTCAATTAGTAGATTGTTTCATGCTATTGAGAATGCATAATTTTTTAATAACACATCATATGTATAAGATGTGTTGCATGAGAACTAAAAAAATCTTAACCGATTAATCATAATATACATCCCAGTAAGCAAAAAATCATTGCTACAACGTTATTATTATTGTCAAGTATGTAGTTTTTAACATTGTATGCAACATCATTATGAACAAACTTTGACATCGATTTAGAGGTTTCGGTAATGTTGAAATTAATGTTTTTAAAATATTTTATTAATATTATGAGAGAATTTTTTAAATATTTATAAAACATCAGTTAAAATATTTTTCAGAATATTTATTAATAATATTTTAAACATATTTATACAACATTATATCATAACGTTTAGAAAATTTATATAAAATCAACATGATAAAATGTTGATTAAATATTTCTTGCTTACTGGGATATGTCAAGGTCAAGATTTTCTGTATCAGTATTAAATAATCACTATTGAAATAAATGTATATGATATCAAATATTATTTGTTTTTCTTAATATATACATTTAATATTCTTAATTCAAATGTAAAAACGTGCATTTAAAAATATATAGTATACAATTTGCATCCAATAATGTATACATAATAAACAAATATATGTTTGTTTTATTAAATTAATTGAATTAATTGATTTATCTTATTATTTTATGCATAAAAGCATTAAAATGATATAATTAAAAATTAAATTTGATATCAGTTATGCCCATGTTTTGCTTGTGATTTGCCTGATAAAACCTGTTTATAGAATCTGATAGGAGATTGACAACAGAAATCGAGCGGAATTTGTAATTCCTAACCGTTTAAATAAAATAACATGGATAATATCTGAAAGTTCTTAGTATTTGATTCAGTCTTAGTAAACTTATACCATTGTTATATACATAATTAGCCAACCAAATCTGTTTGAACAGATTTTGCCAAGTGTCTGCTAGACATTTTTGTTATCAGAAAGGCTACAAATTTAGTCAGTACACAGTCTGTTAATTTGATTATGTCAATAGATTATCAGCAGACTAGGATCATTTATAAAAGTTCTTAGTATTTGAATCAGTCTTGGTAAACTTACCATATATGAATGTTATATACTTAATTAGTCAACCAAATCTGTTTGAACAGATTTTGCCAAGTATCTGCTAAACATTTTTGTTATCAGAAAGGCTACGAATTTAGTACACAGTCTGTTAATTTTGATTATGTCGATAAGACTATCAGTAGAATTAATAAAGCTATAATAAAGCCTGATGCTATAAATGCTGCAATCTGCCATCAGATTGCGCGCACGCGCAGACCTTGTTCGTCAGTTTCTGCGATCTAGAATCTAGAGGCCTAGATTCTAAGCTTTTACTGCAATCTATCAGGTTGGGTGAGCAGGCTCTGCCGATAGATCAAGCCTAATATGGACATAATTGATGCCATTTGCTTGCAATTTATGAATACATCTGTTGCCAATCTTATATTGCAATCAATCATGCTGTATTGCAGTTGTTACATACATTATTATAACATTGCAACTTAATACATATATTATAATTTTACATCATATAAGTATATTTATTATATTACTGACACAAATAATGTTTATTGAGAAATGTTACCGATAAATAACCTGTTAATTTTTCCTCTAATAAATATAACATGTAATTTAACATTGATTCAACATAATTAAATAGAAAATAAATTAAATTGTAAATGATAATTAATTTTAATTTATACAAAGACTTAGGATATAATTTATATAAGGAATCAAACATCTAGTTTGTGCTTCAAATAAAAAATAAACAGATAATTTTTTATTTAGCCTATCGGTTCCAAACAATCAATTTGATATTGTGAATTCTTTGTTAGCCTTATATGGAAAGAAATTAAACTGATGGAAACAGTGGCCATATTTTTTATTTTAATAAATGCGCTTTGCAGTCTTTAAATACATTTCTAAGAATACGAGAAAATATGTCAAATAGCAGTAAGGCAAGGAATTATCGAATCAAATATTAAAAGCCTTTAAATATCGATCTATGTTACTATTATGTTCAATTTATATCGCCAATCTAATGTCATACAAATTACATTTTGTACAAATCCTGCTTGATTTTTGTCACCAATCTGCTATGTTTATTTTGGACAAATTTTGCTTAATAATTTCTAATTTGCTATCAAGTTATATATCAACAAATTGCATTATATTTCTACTGGAATTCTAATATTTTCTGATACAAACAGATTTTGCATGCAATTTATAGTTTTTCTGCCAACAAAATTTGTGTAACAAGATGTTTTATAAAATTTTTTCGACAGACTGGATTATTTGAGCTAAATCCTCACAAACAAATAATTTTATAAAAGATTTCATAGTATAAAGAAATCCTATCAAGGTAATTTTAAAGACAAAAATATAAAAATGAAAAATTTTACCTTTAACTTATACATAATTAACCTAATCTAATATAAGAAAACATTAATACTGCAAAGTACATTTTTCTTTTTCCATTTTATTAACTTGAGTAATTATTCAGTTTTGCATTCACTCAACTAATTAATCATTATATCATTTTTGCTCCAAAGTAATTTTAATAAAAAGTGTTCTTATATGTTCAAAATAATTGATCAATATATACGCATTTATTAATTATATTAATTATGTTTCTATTTGTATATGTGTGCATTGTATATAGATATTTATAAAAATTATAAAATTATATAATAAACATATAGTGAACAAGTACATATACAGAAAAACATCAACTTTTCATTAGAAACTTTTTATTGAAAATTAAATTTGTAAGAAATTTAAAAACCAGAAATATTATATAAATCAAAATTTTTCTAAAATAATATACACCACATATATTGTTTAGAATAAAATAAAATAATATTAAATATAATTTAGGATATTTGCCTGTTACACTTTTCACGATAGGAAATCTCTTATTTCTTGTCATTTTTATCATAAAAAAACATTTTCTAGCATAAAATTTTCAAAAAGAAGATTAAAACTAGAAATAATGCAAGCTTTCTCGCCTTCTGGTTATGAATTAAAATTAAAATTAAAATTATTACACATATACACATAACATAATGACATTTCAACATAACATTTCATGTATTTTCTTTTGTTTTGCAATATAAAAATATAAAATAATATAAAAATCAACACAGAAAGTTAATTCCTAAAACTGTAAAAGAAACTTTCAAAAAACCTATTTTAATTAAGTATTAATTAATTATTGAAAAATATGTTCCTATAATTTATAATTTAATTTTGCAAAAACTTTAACACACTTCTATGAAATGGGTGCAAATTTTTCAATACATTTTATAAAATCTTACAAAATTTTCACTCGCATTTTGAAAATAATTATATATTTATTGCAAAAAATAGAGTGAATATATGTATATGTAATATTACAATCATAATACATCATGCAAAAAAAACTTTTTTTACTTTTTCTTTAAAAAAAAGAGAAAGTTTTTAAATTGCTATAAAATTTTGTCAAATTTATTAAATTAAAAATAATAAAAATAGCATTATAAAAATAATAGTCAATAACAATTATAATAGTATCTTAAAATAGAGAAAGAGAGAGAGAAAGAGTTGTATAGTATCTTTCTAATTATTTGAAAATGACTTTTATTTGTTTGCATAATATATATTTATAACAATTTATATCAATTTTTATATTAATTTCTCTACATTTCCTTAAATATACTTCTATGAAAAGTAACTGTCTTTGCTTTCACGCTTTCTAATTTCGAATTTCATTATGCAACATATAGAATATTTTTTAATTATTTAGCAAATTAGTTTAATTATTTAGTAAGAGTATCTTTAAATTAACGTTTATTTTTATATTACTATCTCTTAAATTATTAATATATATAAAGTTAAAGTTCTTGTATATAAAAAAATAAAACATTTTAAGTATAAGCAATAGTAGATAAAGAAGCTGTAATTTCTAAAACAACTTAGATGGTCTATATTTTAAACTTTTTGTTTCTTAAATACAGGCCAAAGCAATTAAATAGGAAAAAAATCGTTGCAAGTGTTATATTTAATATCGCTCGCGTGTAAAATCTAGATTAAAACCTGTGAAGGTGAACATATAACATGAAAATGCAAGTGGAATATTTTTAAATATAACACGCGATTAATAATCATTATTTAGATATAGATAGATAGATAGATAAACAATTTTATTGTCCTCCTCAAGGATTTAATATGATAATAATCATTATGTATATACAATTGTTAATTACAATATAATAATCTTATTTAGTTACATATATCGTTTAGAACCACAAAACGGTTCCTTGATGTTCCGTCATTCTAAGAAATCAGTATTAAATCGATCGTGTTTATAATAGCGACTCCTATATTGAATCGAAGAATGACAAGATGCTTATAATAATATTGACAGATGACAAGCTAACGTATCGCCGTATTTGCTTGTCAGAAATATTAATGAACACAAGAAATAATTAAAGAAACATATATTAATATATATGCAATCTATGATTTATGCTCACCGTGATATGCTCCGATAATGATGACTTTCATTGCCTGTCGATGTTTCTCCTTCGCAAGTCGACGCATCGCGATGACGACCTCCTCATTTTATGACATTTAGACACAAACCACGACCGGTACTAACCGTAGCCATATCATATGAGAGCGCAACTGCTTGTTTCTATCAATCGAACGCTTAAATTAATGCCTATGTACAAACGGCGACGAAAGTCGAAGGCCGAGCGAAATCGCGCGACATCATGAAGATGAAGAACTGGAGAAAGCATGTATGGTTCTAAAAACGTAAGGGGGATCGGTCGTCGCCATCTTGGATGGAAACGTTCGTTCATTGGTGATTATTGGAGACGCGGTAGTTGCTTAGCAACGCTGAGGTATTCAAATGCACAAGATGTCCCATTGCTGAAATTAATCATCTATAATTTTTTTAATGCATGCAGTTATTAAGAAAATAAAAATTGTGTTGGGAAGAGGAAAGTCTGCAGTTTTTAATGGATATAAATAAAATGTTTGTATACCAGTTTATTTTATTGATAAAAAAAGTGCTAATATAATCACATGAACTTACATATAAACTATAATGATAAATATTTTCAAAAGAACAGAATTTTGTACAAATTCAAATGGTGCGCACTTTGAAAATATATATTTATCATTAATTTAACATATGTATGATTATTAGCACTTTTTTCCTTACTTTTTTCAATAAAATAAACTGATATACAAGCAGTTTATTTATATCCATTAAAAATTACTGACTTCCTCTTTTTTTCAAACCAACATTTATTTTCTCAATAATTAAAAATAAATGACAGCTGTGATTAGTTTCAGCAATTTCCTGTGTGGGACATCCTATAAAACAAACCCAGATAGACAAATATATGCAAACATTTTATATATATACTTTAATTGTAACGCACAATTAGAATAACAGTATAAAATTATTACAAATCATTTTAATAAGGTTATGAGTAATGGCAAATTTTGCCTATTTTTGGGACCTCGAATTTCAAATTTTTTTTTATGTCAATAAATAATATATACTATTAAATGAAATATTAATCCCAGTAAAATTTCAAGATGAGCATATATATATAGGCACGGTTTCGGAGATGCAAGGGAGAAAGTGATAACTAATTATTAGTCATCAGCCAGTTTTATGAGAAATTATCACTTTCACTTCTTCATATATCAAACCGTGCCTATATGCTCATTTTGAAATTTCTGTGGAATTAATGTCTCATCATATAGTAGCACTATTTGGCATAAAAAAAGTTTGAAATTTGAGTCCCAAAATTCGATCCTATATAAGATATAATGAGCGAAAAAACAGGTTTTTTTGCCATATCACTCTTTTAATTGTGCATTATGTTGTCATACTGTTAACATTCCAGACAGCAAAATATATGCATTATGTACTCATATTTCATTAACAATAAGCAATTAAGTTTCTATATATATGTATGTATATACATAATTGTATAACCTCATAACTTTACATAATTGATATCGCTGTGTTTATAAAATAGTTGCCGCTGGCCGCTGCGCCGGCATGAGTGGCGCGACTTTCCATACAGATAGTGGGGACACGATATTAATGTTAGTGAGCGTATGTGTAGAGAAGAAGTAGCTTAAACGGAAAGTTCGCGGGGGGCAAGTTATCCGGAGTCTACTGTACCTATTTAATAATATATATACAGGGTTTGTGAAAAGTGTGGAAATCCCTAAATAATTTTTGAAAAATCAAAATACATGTTTTACCGTTTTTTAATATTTTCATTTTTACAAGAATTATTTAGGGGTTTTCCACACTGTTGACAAACTCTGTATAATTCACAACTATATTATTAAAAATATAAATATTTTTATATATTTAAAGTGCGGAATAAAATTGTAATGTTATTGAGATATTTCATAAAAGTAAATAATATTTTACTTTATTACTTATTATTAATATACAGAGTGTCCCATTTAAATTGTATATCCCCATATAACATTAAGCAGAAAATGGTCTGATAAAAAAAAATTTCAGACAAAAGTTGTTAGATTTTGAGGGGAACATCCCATAATAATCCTGACCTTATCGTGAATGACCTTAATCAAGGTGACCTTCAAGCAACTATTCATGATCAAACTAATGGTACCACCGACCTTAATTATGTCCTCCTCGAAACCATACAACTTTTGTCTGAAACATTTTTTCTACAATCAAAAATAAAAAACTTATTTGGGATGAGATATTAAAATGGGATACTTTGTATAGTTACCATATATTAATATTAAATAATTTATATATTTTTTTACACTGAAAAAATGTTAACTTGATTAAACCTTTTAACTAAATAATATATATAAAAATAAATTTAATAAATTAAATAATATATTAAATCTCTCTAACATAACGTTTACATTTGACTTAAATATACTATAATATATTATATATATGTATATAATATATATACAGGGTGTCACTTAATTGGCGCCTACTATATTTACATAGCGATATTCCTCGTGGAAAACTGAGTCAAAAAATCCTGAGCCATTTATTTTTATAATGCATAATAATTTTCATAATTACCGATAGAAAAAGGCATGTCAAAGGCACGCGCAAAAGGATAGCACCTTGCCATAAACATATAGTGCCTTGAGCGCACGCACACCGCCACACGCGCGGTTATAATTAGTAATAATGATTAGTGTTATTATGGCTTAACATCATTAGTAATTACGGCTTTATTATGCATTATAAAAAAATAGCTCAGGACTTTTTGACTCAGTTTTCCACGAGGAATATCGCTATGTAAATAGTGGGCGCCAATTAAGTGACTCCCTGTATATATATATATATATATATATATATATATATATGTTTAATTAATATATATGTTTAATTAAAAAATAAAATCTATAATTGTTCTTCTCTGAGGCAACGTTATTTTGATCCGAAGGATGATATTGCGATCGATGAATCATAGAAACCTTTTATATGTACGATATAATATATATCTGTAATAACATTTATATAAATTAATATTAATACTATAGATAACACAAGCGCGCGCTTCATGCGTGCTAAAGAAACTTTACTCCGTAAGTGTACATAATTTTAATTCGCCAAATTATTAACATAATTCTAATTCCCGAATTTCTATTATACATATACATAATTTTAATTGGCTGAATTTCTATTACAAACCTAATTTTTAATTTAATTTAATTTTAATTTTAATTTTTTTAACCAAATTTTTATTATGCACATAATTTTAATTTTTTATTTTTTATTATGCACATAATTTTAATTCGCCGTATTTTTATTATGTAAATTGTAAATAACTGAAATTGTATCTAATAGAAATTCGGCCATTAAAATTATGTACATAATAGAAATTCAGCGAATTAAAATTATAAACATAATAGAATTTCACGAATAAAAATTATGTACTGAATGGATATTCGTCGAATTTTTATTTTGTACATAAGTATTCTTTATTTTTATTACGTATATATTTGCATATAATTTTAATTATCCGAATTTCTATTATGTAAATAATTTAAATTCGTTAAATTTCTATTATGTACATATAATTTTAATCAACTGAATTTTTATTATGTACATAATTTTAATTCGTCAAATTTCTATTTTCCTTTCTAACTAAGAAACTGTAGTCAAAACCACTCAATCACAAAATTAATAAACAATTATCACATTTTAATAATTATTTACACCAAATCATTTAATATACATAACTATCACTACAATAACCCCTCGATATATACAATTGTCAAAATATGAATTTATCGAATTTCCATTATGTACATTGTACATAATAGAAATTTGGGATTTAATATTATAATTTATAATGTACATAATAGTAATTCGATGAATTAAAATGATATACATGGTAGAAATTCAATAATTTAAAATTATGTATACAATAAAAATTCGGTGAATTAAAATTATGTACATAATAAAAATTCGGCGAATTAAAATTATGTATATAATGGAAATTCGCTTACTTACATATTCTGTTCTGCTGTCCTCTTAGCAATAGCATTAGGTTGAATGACAACAAATGTACGAATACGCGCACGCGCGCGAATGTAGAACGAAAAATAATTAATATATCTTATTAATATATATTTATATAAAATTTTGACAACTGTCAAACTTACCCTCAAATTAATCCTCGCGGTGACAGCCGCTCAATGTTACGAATATAAACGCATAACACGAATCGAGACAGCCAATCAGCATCGTGGAAAAGAGGCTTCAAAACTTCGATAAAAACAAAATTCAGGTAACACGCCTTTTTCATAAAGGATACAGCAATATGTACAAAAATTTTCCTCTACATAATAATAATATATATGCAAAATATTTAAATAAAAGATACAGTAAATAAAATATTTTTAAACATTATTAAAATATACAGGGTGAGTCATTTTAATCTATGGACCCGAATATCTTCCAAATTACGGTATCTACGAAAAAATGGTTTAGATAAAAGTTGACCAGGACAGAGAGGGTCATTCAATTGTACCATTGGTTTTGACTTTGAGGTCAATTTTGAAGGTTATTTCAAGGTCACGATGGTTTTTTTAAATGGGACACCCTATTTTTGACTGCGGATTTTGAAAGAGCGGAAAATTTTACATCAAACTTGTCTTATGAAAAAATTGTTTTTGCGACCTTGGAAAGGTCAAAAATAAAGGTGAAATGCCTGAAAAACGATCTGGTGTACTTTTTCTGAAATGACGTGGTTTTCTGGGTAACACAAATGTACATAATGCTTAAACAAAGTCAATGAATTGTAAAAGTGTAAATCACTTTGACTAGCTTGACCTTGAGGTCAATTTTCAAGGTTGTTAGAGGTTTATAACGCATTTTTTTATTAGTAAACCCTATTTTTGACCGCAGAATCCGTTTATGGCAATGGACTCTTAAACAATGGCACTTTTTACATGAGCATAAGGATTTTTTAGTTTTTCGACCTGACCTTTTGAAGGTCATATCAAAGTCAAAAGCACTTTCATCTTACTTTTAGCGTTACCCGGAAACAACGACGTGGACGTAGTAAGTTCTGTTTCCTTTAGAGTGCTTGATTATTGCGAGTCCCCTTGCCTCTCACGTCGGGGTGCTTGATTATCGTGAGTCCCCTTGCCTCTCACGTCGGGGTGCCTGATTATCGTGAGTCCCCTTGCCTCTCACGTCGGGATGCTTGATTATCGTGAGTCCCCTTGCCTCTCACGTCGGGGTGCTTGATTATCGTGAGTCCCCTTGCCTCTCACGTCGGGGTGCTTGATTATCGTGAGTCCCCTTGCCTCTCACGTCGGGGTGCTTAATTATCGTGAGTCCCCTTGCCTCTCACGTCGGGGTGCTTGATTATCGTGAGTCCCCTTGCCTCTCACGTCGGGGTGCTTGATTATTGTAAGTCCCCTTGCCTCTCACGTCGGGGTGCTTAATTATCGTGAGTCCCCTTGCCTCTCACGTCGGAGTGCTTGATTATTGTGAGTCCCTTTGCCTCTCACGTCGGGGTGCTTGATATGACCTTCAAAAAGTCAGGTCGAAAGGATAAATGAAAATCCATTTTTACTACGAGAGCAGCGGATGTAAGGTATCTGATACCTAATGCTAATAATCAACGATTGAAAAAAACTAAACAATTACGTTTGATTTAAGATTTATAATTATTGTTATAATAGAGTTTTATTCCTTTTCTTTCTTACTCACTTCTGCATAATTGAAAAATTTACTATTTAAAGTTGCTTAAATTTAAAAATTCCAAACATACATACAGGGTATGTAGGTAATTACATTCACAAGTTACCTTTCCAGAATGGCTGATTATAGTCCTAATGAGATTGTTGATATTATATTAGTTTTAGGGGAGTGTCATAGCAATTACAATGCAGCATCAAGGCTTTATGCTCAACGTTTTCCTGAAAGGCGACATCCAACTGATATGACAATACGTAGTTTAGTCCAAAGAACTCGCAATGGACATCTTGTTCGTCAACGTCAACATCATGAATATGACGAAAATGATGCGCGAGCTGTAACTATTTTAGCAATAGTTCACCTTAATCCTCATGTTAGTACTCGCCAGATTGAAAGGGAAATAGGTATACCACAAAGAACTGTTGTTAGAATTTTAAGAGCTCTAAATTATCACCCTTTCCACATAACTCTTACGCAGGCTTTACAGCCTAATCATCATCTGATGCGTATTTCTTTTTATTAGTGGGCTTTACAAATGTTACACAATGATCCTAATTTTTTTAGGTATGTGCTTTTCTCAGATGAGGCTAAATTTTATAGTGACGGACAACTTAATAGACACAACTGCCATTATTGATCAGATGTTAATCCCCACTGGTATAGGCCAATAGATCATCAAAATCGATGGAGTATTATGGTGTAGTGCGGCATTGTAAATGGTTATTTGATTGGACCTTATTTTTTTGAAGAGAACATTGATAGACACAGTTACTTATCGTTGCTAAGAGATCACTTACCAGGCTTATTAGAAGATGTTGACTTAGCAACAAGAGCAAGAATGTGGCTTCAACAAAATGATGCTGCACCGCATTATGCACTCATTGTACGTGCCTTTTTAAATGCCAGTTACAATGACAGATGGATTGGACGAAGGGGTCCAGTTGAATGGCCTCCTTGCTCACCAGATCTGACGTCGCCCGATTTCTTTTTATGGGGATACTTGAAAAATGTTGTTTTTGCTGAACGACCAACCACAAGAGATGATTTTATGGACCGCATTCGTAGAGCTTGTGCAGCCATTCCTAGAGCTACCCTGCTTAGAACTGTGGATAGTTTTCAAAACAGATTGTAGTTATGTCTCGAAGCCAACGGAGGTAATTTTGAACAATTACTCCGTGGGTAATTCATTTGAATTACAGTGTCAGTGAGAGGCAAAGGGACTCACGATAATCAAGCACCCCGACGTGAGAGGCAAGGGGACTCACGACAATCAGGCACCCCGACGTGAGAGGCAAGGGGACTTACAATAATCAAGCACCCCGACGTGAGAGGCAAGGGGACTTACGATAATCAAGCACCCCGACGTGAGAGGCAAGGGGACTTACAATAATCAAGCACCCCAACGTGAGAGGCAAGGGGACTCACGATAATCAAGCACCCCGACGTAAGGGGCAAGGGGACTCACGATAATCAAGCACCCCGACGTGAGAGGCAAGGGGACTCACGATAATTAAGCACCCCGACGTGAGAGGCAAGGGGACTCACGATAATCAGGCACCCCGACGTGAGAGGCAAGGGGACATACAATAATCAAGCACCCCGACGTGAGAGGCGAGGGGACTCACGATAATCAAGCACCCCGACGTGAGAGGCAAGAGGACTCACGATAATCAGGCACCCCGACGTGAGAGGCAAGAGGACTCACGATAATCAAGCACCCCGACGTGAGAGGCAAGGGGACTCACGATAATCAGGCACCCCGACGTGAGAGGCAAGAAGACTCACGATAATCAAGCACCCCGACGTGAGAGGCAAGGGGACTCGCAATAATAATCAAGCACCCTAAAGGAAACAGAACTTACTACGTCCACGTCGTTGTTTCCGGGTAACGCTAAAAGTAAGATGAAAGTGCTTTTGACCTTAATATGACCTTCAAAAGGTCAGGTCAAAAAACTAAAAAATCCTTATGCTCATGTAAAAAGTGTTATTGTTTAAGAGTCCATTGTCAAGAAACGGATTCTGCGGTCAAAAATAGGGTTTACTAATAAAAAAATGCGTTATAAACCTCAAACAACCTTGAAAATTGACCTCAAGGTCAAGCTAGTCAAAGTGATTTACACTTTTACAATTCATTGACTTTGTTTAAGCATTATGCACATTTGTGTTACCCAGAAAACCACGTCATTTCAGAAAAAGTACACCAGATCGTTTTTCAGGCATTTCACCTTTATTTTTGACCTTTCCAAGGTCGCAAAAACAATTTTTTCATAAGACAAGTTTGATGTAAAATTTTCCGCTCTTTCAAAATCCGCAGTCAAAAATAGGGTGTCCTATTTAAAAAAACCATCGTGACCTTAAAATAACCTTCAAAATTGACCTCAAGGTCAAAACCAATGGTACAATTGAATGACCTTCTCTGTCCTGGTCAACTTTTATCTAAACCATTTTTTCGTAGATACCGTAATTTGGAAGATATTCGGGTCCATAGATTAAAATGACTCACCCTGTATGTAAAATATGCTGTTATCAAATATATATATACGCATATATATATATGTATATAATTTTAATAATATACAAAATAATAATTCCTCATACATATTGTATTTTATAGATGTGTTTACAAAAATCAATATAATGAGCAAACAGTATGTTTAATAATAATTCAAATTATACTTACAAATGACATAAAAGTAGCCTTTTGAAGTTGATTGAAATCGACAACGCGATGTTTTATTTTTGCACTGTTTTGCATAATGCACTACCGAGATATTTTCAATAATGCACTTTTTATTAGGCTTATACTGTCGCATACTGTCGACATTACATCGATTAAACTGTTTAATCAATGTCGAGTGACACCAACGATTTTTATCGATTAAACAGTTTAGTCGAGGACTCGCCCAATTCATACAGATGTAAAAAAATAAGACTTCTCTTACGCACTACTTTATCTTTATAAAAAAGGTAATATTGTGTATATCCTACACTATTAAACAAAAATAGGAAAAAAAATAGAGTTCTTCCTATTCTAAAATTACGCTATTTTCCAAACTTCTGAAACTTGGCGAAACATCATCGTAGACTAAAAATTAAAAAAGTATTTTGAAGTGTCAATTTTAATGCAAAATCGATGGTTTTTACAAATTTTTTTATCTTTCCGTTCTATATGCTTAAAAAAATAACACGTTATTTTGTTCCTTAAAATTACGTGTATTTGACATTCTGGAGCTTGATAAAAAATTTGTTCTCAAATATTCAAGTTTCAGAATACATATAAACTACAAAACATTAACATATAAGTACAAACATATAAGTTACAACCTCTGATCAAAAGATGTAACCAATAATTTTACTTACAAAATGCTATTTTTTTCCTACAATTTTTTGGCCGAGTTAGACGATTTTTTAACTAAATTTATATTTTTCAGAACAAAAAAAAATTAATAAATTTTGTAAAATCATCGATAGCACATTAAAGTTGACATTTAGGCCGATGGCAGAGAGCTACTAAACGTAAGCGCCATAGCGTAGACGTAAAGTAAGACAGAGAAAAGACGTAACTACGAATGCACTACGCGCTTATTCGCAACATGACTTATGTAGTTCGTCTTTTCTCTGTCTTACTTTATGTCTACGCTACGGCGCTTACGTTTAGCTCTCTGCCATCGGCCTTATTCAAGCTTCAAAATGCTTTTAATTTATTGTCTACGATGATTTTTCGCCGAGTATCAATTCTAAAAAATAAAAGTTTAATTTAAAAATCTATAACTCAGTCAAAAATTCGTAAGAAAATTTTAAAAATAGCGTTTTGTAGGCAAAATGTGTTATTTATGGAACATGAGTAGAATTTTTTAAGAGAAATTTTTTTATCGAGGTACAGTGTAAAAAATACGTAATTTAAAGTAACAAAATCATATGTTTGTTTTTAACACACAGACTAATAAAATTTTAAAAAAATGGAAAAAATGATGCATTAAAATTACAAGCTTTAAAATGCTTCTTTAATTTTTTGCCTATGATGATTTTTCGCCGAATATCAACATCGTATCTGAAAAATATAAGTTACAAGCTCTGATCAAAAAAGATGTAAGCAATAAAAATTTTTTATTTACTATTACATTATTTATTATAATTTATATATATATATATATATATATATATATAATATATAATTGTTTTATAAAATTAAATATAAATTATTATATTGCTTCGTTATTTATTAATGGTTTGAAAAAAGTGATAACTTGATATTTTTTAGTATTTTTATTTTCGGATTTTTAAAATAATAAGTTTTAAAGTAGTTAAAAATTTCAAAAATTTATCTTCTAAATTCTTAGTTTAATCATCTTTAATATTTATGAGTTTAGGAAAATAGAGAGATGGGATTATGTGATTAAGAAAAAAATCGTGGAAACAGGATGTGACAATATACATGTAACACTGCTTTATAAGCGTGTAACAATAGATAAATATGTATTTGGATGTCAGAAACAAATATATAAATCACTACTTCACTAGATTTATTTTACAAAAATATCGTAAAAATATATAAGGACGGATCAAACTGATCTAATTAAACGTTTTATATACAAATTCTATTGCATCTATATAATTACTTTTAACTTATTATCTCTAGTGCTTTTTTTCATTACTTAATATTGATTGATGCCATTTACTGAACTACGTGATGCATAGCTCTTCGTTTTTTAGCAGATCATCGAGTTAGAGTCTCACGTATTTATAGAGATCGCTTATTTGTTTAGGAATAATTATTAGTTGAGTGTGCTTTCTAACAGACATCTTTAGCCCATACATGTAATACTTTAAACATGTGTCTACTTTATCCTATTTCTAATTTAATTATTTTTTCATTTATTAATTCTTTATATAGGGTATCCCAAAATTATACCGACAAATTAGACCGGTACTAGAGAATCTGAAACTAAAATATTAATATATGTAGAAAATTGTTTGACTAATAAGACACTATTTGAATAAGAATTTATTTAACATTGTTTAAAGAAGACAAGACATTGTTAACTAAAAGCTCAGTATTACAGCATTATTGAGTATTCATTCGGCGTCACACTCCGTATTTATTACTATTTAGTCGAGATTCATGTTCGAAATCGACAAGTTTTTTTATGAAGAACTGATCGATATTTTTGCAGACATTACATTTACATTTGCAGACATGGGTTTATTGACAAAATCTTGCTTTAACGTCTTATAATCATCTGAAGTTTGTCAATCTAATTTTGGGATACTCTGTATATTAATTTTCTAATTTGAAATATTAATATTTTCTTAATAAAACTTCATTCTCCTAATAACTCTTCAATTCCGTCATCCTTATCGGAACCATCCTGCCGTTGCACCGTCATTTTATACCCTAATTGCTCGAGAAGATTTACGTTGAAGTAATAACTCAAATTAATTCCTGGTACCAAGCGTTTCAATTCCTCGATGGTAGCCCAAGCTTTCTCAGTGTTTCCTATATTGGCATAATGCTGTGTAATTGTCGCAAATAAATCACCGCGACGCACCGATTGTTCCAAATTGGATCCTTGGGAATCCAGTAAATATCGGACCTGTTGCATTGCCGTCTCCGTCTCGCCTCTCTCAAATAATCTGTATAACAAGAAGTATAGACATATTTAAATGTATGGAAGACATTTTTATATCTCATAGTTAAAGCTTGGTTCCTTACTGACCACGTTGAAATTGTGATGTCAGAAGCTAGAAAATCGACGAAATATCTTTTCATTTAAAAATCTAAGAATTTTCAGCGTGTGCTTTCTTACCTCACAATCTAACAAGGCCATGGCGAGGTTCCAAAAGTCTTAAAATTTTTAATTTTTTAACAAAATCGTAGGTTCCAATTTTGTTCCTTTATGTACTTTAATCGAAAAAAGATATTTATTATTCTATTCAATCAATAAAAAGAAAAATGATCGTTTTATTGGTAAAACGTTTAGGGTCAATATAGGAATAAAATAATGAGAAAAATTTTCATTATTTAAATAAGAATAAATAATAATAAACTGAAAAAAACACCGGCATGAAACTAGTCGTTTCTTATAAGTTTTTGAACGCTGAACAGGAATCTGTCTTCAAAATTGTTCCACACGTTACAATTTTAAGAGACATGCTAAGTTTGTGAAAATAGCCACTTTTTGTAACTTGGATTGCATTAACGTGATGGAGCAATTTTGAAGACAGATTCGCGTTCAGCGTCCAAAAACTATAAGAAACGATTAATCTCGTTCCGGTGTTTGAGTCATTTTTTCTTGAACATTGTAATAATAAGGGTGTATACTCAAATCTTATAAATAAATTCTATGATTTTCCAGGTATGTGTGTACTTTTGTTCAAAATTCCAAGTAAAATTAAAGTATTTAAAAAAATTTTAAATACAATTTTAAATTAAATATATTTTTGTTATACATAATTTTTTAACATAAATAAAATATTTTTTAATATATTTTAAAATAAGATATATTTCAATATACTTTATATAAACCTAATAAATTTTATATTCTTTAAAGGTATATTTGACAATAAAATCAAAGGGACAATTTAAAAAAAATTCCCTGAGTTCAAAATAAATTCCATGAATATTCCAGAATTTTTCAAGGTAGAAAAAATTCCCTGAGAATTCCAGATTTTCCAGGTTTTTCCAAAGAGTATACACCTTGATAATACAATATCTACAATATCTGTATAATAAAATATTTGATCACCTTTTAATATCCAAATAACGCTTAATCGTTGACATTCTGTTGTTGACCAATTCCACCGCTCGCTTGTGAACATCTGGATCACGCGGTGTCGCTACTTTAATCAGACACTTGCTGGCTTGATTCAACGCGTCCAGCGCTTTGTCATAATTCTGAAATTCATCGATCTCTACCTGCGCGCATGCTACATAAAAATTCGCTAACAGATCCATCGCCTTGCCTTTGGAATAGAAGCTGATAATATTTTTCAGAATCTCCGGCTGATTCTGCCAGTCTAAGGATTGCAGATAATTGCCTGCCATGATATAGATCTCGCTGTTCCGCGACACTTGCGCGAAGAAACAGATCTTCTCGGTGTCGCCAGACTTGAGCAGCGCTTTCATAGCGCGCAACTTGTTTCCAGCTTGTGTGAATTTCTTGGTCGCGAGATGGTAATTTCCTTGATCGAAAGCTATCTCTGCGATCTTCTCCAGCGTATAGATCCTCATATTTTCGTGCTCCGCGTCGTCGTCGCCTCTCTTGTCAACCGTTAATTTTTCCGCGAGCTCCTCGCTCAACACGACGTTATGCTGCTGAATCAGATCCAGGGCTGCCATGTAGTCCTTCCCGGTCGCGAGCAAATCTACCGCTTTGTCGATCTGATCATTTTGCATGAAGTAATCGGCACACTTGCGAATCAACGCTGGGTCGGAATCCGCGTTTACATCCATGATGATCAGCTGTAACGCGCTATATTGGCGCGTTCTAAAGGCAACATCCAGAGCTTTATGCAAAAGATTGGCTTTGTGGTACAGCATCACCGCGCGATCCGGCTGATTGTTGTCCTCGTAGAATTTGGCAACGTCTATCTGCGAATGTCGTGGCGCTAAAATAGCCAGTGGCCATAGTTCCTCCAGCATGTCATGCTCCTACAAGATAATATATATAAATTAATATGTTCCAAAGCTGAACAAAAAATTCTTTTTACAGTCATTTTCATTTAAATGTCGCTTGATGTCGCTACTAGCGCAATGTTGCGCTTAGATAATTTTAAAATTAGCTAGATAAAGATGAGATAAATTCATTTTAGATAAGATAAAGCTAATTTTGTTTTAATTATATATATAAAATATAAGAAATATAAATTAATGTTGTGATAATTTTTTATGTAAATTAAAACAAAATGAATATTATTAAAACAAAATAAATAATTGAAACTTTTTACAGCAATTTTCTTAGATGATTTTAAAAATAGCTAGATAAAGATGAGATAAAATATATAAATTTATCTTAGATAAGATCAAAATGATTTTGTTTTAAATATATCCCCAGATAGCCACAGTAATTATTATGACATCATTTTGATGTCAAAATGCATCATTTGCCATCAAAATAATGCATTTTGACATCAAAATGATGTCATAATAATTACTGTAGCTATCTGGGTCTATATAAAGATAAGATAATGCCAAATTTTCATCTAGATGATTATTTATATAATTTTATTTAGATAAGAACAAACATATTGGACATTCAAGCAAAAACTATTCTATTGTAATATTAAACATTTTACCTTGCACAGTCGAATTGCGTTAGTATAAGCTTTAGCAACTGTATAAAAGTGGATCGCTTGTGACACATTATTCTTCGATTCGTAATGGGCGGCGAGATGATATGCTGATGCAGCATGACCCGTTTTAGTCACCAATTCGCACACTTCGTCCTCTCTATTGAAATAACAAAGTAGTCTTGTCATCGACAAAGTGTCCTTTGCCTGCTCGTAAAGATGCAAAGCAGTCTCCATGTCGCCAGTCGACTCGGTGTATTGGGCATGCCAATTTTTAATTTCCCTACGACATTATTATTAATATTACTCTTTGTTATAAATAATTTTTTTTCTAATTAAGGGGATCCTTCACGATTGTCTGTTTCATCGACCTATTATTATTTTCGTATACTTCTAGTCTTGTATTGCATTAATTTGACGGAATTAAAATACTTTTCTACGATTACAATACATACATCAATGATTTCAGAAAAACCGAGAAATAATTACAAAATTATAGTTTTCCTTTTATCTCGATATGACGTCTCAAATGACAGACGAGCTATCAATTCATTATATTATGTACTTTATATAAAAAAATATACATTTTTTATGAATATAAATATAAGAGAGGAGATCCATGGGATTAAGATACATGAAAAAAAGCACCGTTATCCTCTAAATCTAGATTAGAAATCTAATCTAAAAGTATAGTTCATATTATGATTCATACGTATGTATGCATGCGTTATAGGTATAATAGAGCAAAAAACAGCAATACATATTTACGTTCAAAATAGTAATAATATTAAACATAGCAAAAAATGACTCCATGTGTGCCATGTACACATGGATTTTTGATACATGTTTGATCTGGATGATTTATAATGTGAAATTAAAATATCAGTAATTATTCTTCGAAAATCAGTCTGTAATTATCAATATTTTTGATTAAAAAATGAGGTCATTACTATTTTGTTGGAGTTCGTCGTTCGCTGAAGGATCCCCTTAATGTTTTTTGCCACACTTACAATTCCTCGGAATTATTGAGATAAGTAAGGAGCTCCCGAGGTCTCATCAAAAGCATTCTGGGCACCTCAAATCGATGGCAATCGGCTTTGGTGTACATGTCGATAGCTTCCGCCACTTTACCTTGCTGCTCTAGTGTACGAGCGTAATTATAGTAGCTTGTCTTCTCTCGAATCTTATTCTCGTTACTGGCTAATCCAATCGCTTCCTTGAACTTGCTCTGGGCTTCGAACAACTGTCCAAGCAGATCCAAACGTTTCGCTTCCCGAAATAAATGTTCGGCATCAGTCTGTGATTTAGAGACCGTTTAATTTGCAAACAGTAATTAAAACTTTATATTTAAATGTAATATGTTAATGTAATAACCAGTGTTGTGCTTAGATGATTTAAAAATTAGCTAGATAAAGATGAGATAAAAATATGTAAATTTATCTTAGATAAGATGAAGATGATTTTGTTTCAAATATATAGATAAAAGATAAAATTATATGGCGATTCATCTAGATAATTTTCTAGTTAATAATATTTTTAAGACTGGTTATGTAAACACAGTTATAAAAAGTTTTAATTATAAAAGGGATATAAAATATACGTATTCATATTTTTATTTATTCATTTTTATCGCTTACTGCTTAAATTCTATTATTTAAGTATTTTTATAAGCTATAATTCTAAACCAAAATTATCTGGAAATTATTTCAAATGATTTTGGTTTAGAATTATAGCTCATAAAAATATTATCTTTACTAAATTATCTGAAAATCATTTCAGATAATTTAGTAAAGATAATACTATTTTTCATCTAAAATGTAGATATAGATAGTACATATTTTTATTATCTATATAAAGATAAGATGCCACCAAAGTTTCATCTAGATGATCATCTATATAATTTTATTTAGATAACAGCAAACAAACTGATAATAACTTAACTTACATAAAGACCAAGTTCAACAGCCAGTATTCCTACTTTTGCTTCTAAATTCAAGGTATCGTTCTGCATCGCTTCACGTAGAGCCCGTGCAGCATTGGCTTGCTTCATATGACCGAGACAGAGAAGAGCCATATTCAGTTGCTTCGTTTTCACGCACATTTTGGCCAAGCTTTTCCAAACAGTCTCATTTTTGATCGATTTAATGGCTTTAAAAGCCTCCTCCATATTCGCCACGCTAATATGATAACTAAAATCCATCACTGCCTTCTTCGTGACAGAATCGCAGTCTCCCAATTCTTCGAAATCTCTCATTAACAACTGCGCGACCTTGCTGTTTCTATCCACACTCTTTTCAGAGTTTAAAATAAAGATGTATGGCGAGTGCACACCTAATAATTGGCAGTTCTCGTCAGCTATCGGCTTCACGTCTTGCACGACAATACCATGATCTGATGTCGCAAATAATGATACCAATACCACAGGAGCTTGTGTAATCTAAAAAAATATATTAAAATATATTATTATAATTAAATAATATAAAAAATATATTATTAAAATATATTAAAATATTAAATTTATTAAATATATTATTAAGATTAAGACTTCTGGATCTTCGCCGCAACTATGTTACATTGTGACATCAGAGGCAAAAAAGCACACACTAAAAATTCTAATATGTCATTTTTTTAAATAAAAAGATATTTCATCAAAATATCTTTTTATTTCGGAATGGCATCTAAGAATTTTTATTAAAATATATTATAAAATACTAAATATATTGTTAAGATTAAGGTTTCTGAATTCTCGCCGCAGCTATGTTACATTGTGACGTCAAAGGCAAAAAAGCATACACTGAAAATTCTAATATGTAATTTTCAAAAATAAAAAGATATTTCATCAAAATATCTCTTTATTTCGAAATGGTGTTTAAGAATTTTTTTGTGTTTTCTTGCCTCTGACGTCACAATTCCAACATGGTCAATGAGGAGTCAGAAGCCTTAATGTAAACTAAAAATTACAATCACGTATTCATATTCTTTTTAACTCTTTATTTAAACCTCCTTATTTAGAACTTATAAATAATAATTTATTTCTATGTAATATATTTATTCCTATATAATGATAAATATTTTAATATTTTTTAAAATGATATTACCTTATTATTTTCGCCCTTATAGAAGTTCTTAGAATCACGACTTTCCAATCTTTGAGCTCGACATACAAGTAATCTAGAATCCTCCATATCCCAGCAATGCGCTGTAACTAATCTTCCTCTGCATTGTGCAGTTCTAAAAAAAAAGAAGAAATCTTATCATGCTAAAGTTTCATGTTCTTACATAATAATATGTATATTGTATATTATTGGAATATGCAGAGTAGTTCAAAAGTCCGACAATGACCAATTATCTCCGACAATAGTGATTCTATGAAAAAATGTTAAATACAAAAGTTGTAGGGCTCAAAATAAGGCACTTGATGGTGATCTTAAATTTAACTTACAAGTCAAATTTAGAGAGCTTTCCAAAACACCATAATTAAATTATTTTTCATGAAGTAATTTTTTAGTTATTAAGGTTTGAAGTTAACAATTTTTTGACATAAAATGTAAAATATTTTATAAAATATTGTTTTCAATGATCAAAAAGAGATGTATGTAATTTGCAACATATTTTTTAAAAAGCAACTGTGTTTTCTTTACACTAATTGATTAATCTCATTATTCAGTGCATAAAAGTATTAAAGTATGATTACCGAAAACTGAATATTTTACAAGATATTTTATATTTTATGTCAAAAAATTATTAACTTCAATCTTCATAACTCGAAAAGTACTTAATGAAAAAATATTTCATAGTGTTTTGAAAAGCTCTCAAGATAAGCTACAAGAATATGCAATAAAAAATAGGGGGTTCAAAAAAAAAAAAATAATAAAATTGACCTTGAAATGACCTCTAAATTTGACACCTAGGTCAAAGTCTAGATCACCATCAAGTGCCTTATCTTAAGCCCTACAACTTTTGTATTTAACATTTTTCATAGGACCACTATTTTCGGAGATAATTGGCTGTTGCAGGACTTTTAAATCACCCTGTATATGGACATATAATATAGACAAACAATATATAATTTTTTTACTCACAACATGGAGTCGTCGTCAATGATGTCATTTGACTCTCCGAAATCAAACTCGTGGACCTGATCGCTTTCAATGTCCCAAACGTATAAAATCGAACTGGGCATCAAATTCGCCATTGCAACAGTGATTGAGACGCAGCGGCAATCCGAATTACATCTAGCCTCGATGATTTCGGCAAAGTCACTGATTGCCTCATACGTCGCCATAGCTCGAGTGTGCAACTTAGCTTCGTGCTTGCCCAAGTCCCAGATCTTCAGGATCCCATTCAATGAAGCGACAGTCAAATAGTGTCCTACAAACCAGTACAAAATAATATTCCTAATATTAGTTTAAAAATTATTTCAATTTACTTAAAAATTTATTACTAGTGTTTAGATGATTTTAAAATTAACTAGATAAAGATAAGATAAAAATATGTAAATTTATCTTAGCTAAGAATATGATTTTGTTTTAAATATATCCAGATAAAAGATAAAATTATATAGCGATTCATTAGATAATAATTTTAAAGACTGCTTATGTAAACACAGTTATAAAAAAATGCAAATTATAAAAGGGATATAAAAATATATGTATTCATATGTTTATATTTATAAATTTTTATCGTTACTGCTTAAGTTCTACTATTGAAGTACTTTTATGTGCTATAATTCTAAACCAAAATTATCTGAAAATTATTCCAGATAATTTAATAAAGTTAATGCTTTTTTTCATCTAAGATGCAGATATACCATAGATAATACATATTTTTATTATCTATATAAAGATAAGATAACGCTGAAGTTTCATCTAGATGATCATCTATATAATTTCATTTAGATAACAGCAAACACTGTTTATTACTCGTCAATTCCATCGTGATCGGCTCGCCCTCTTCCGGCAAAGTGGGAAGTGTCTGAATGACGGAACCTTCTACAGAGCGTAATTGAATGATCACCGGAGTCAGTACAATCAACGTATGTTCATAGATGAGCATCTTTTCGGTGTCGCAGGCGAAAGTCGCCAAAACAGTCGTGCTGATACTGGGACTTTTGTTAATACGACTGACGATAATCTGTCTACCGGAAGAGACGGCGACGTACTCCTTCGTAACGGCAATTGCCTGCACCTGGATCTCCGTCTTCAACGTATAGCTCTGCCCGTCCATCTCGAGCAGAATCTGCGTCGGTGTAAGTTGACTCGCGCAAACACCATCGTTGTATACAGCGCACATCGGCTGCTGACGCAGGATGAACACGTTGGTAATGCAGTTGACGGCCAAAAGAGAATTCCGTGATAAACTGGTGCCCCACACCAGTTGCTTCACCGTTCCGTGAATCGTGCAGCACTCCGGCATGCTCGGCCAAGCGTTCTCATCGCTATCGGAAGAGGATTTTCGCTTCCACAAGTAGATTGTCCCCAGATTGGTTCCAGCAGCCAAAGTATCTAAAAAATGCAAAGGAAGATGTTAAAAATAAGTCATTTTTGACCTAAAAGCGGAACCTAAATCAATAATTGGGAATTTCTGGGATCTTCTAGAAGCAGAAAATAACAATTATTTATCCATCAAGTCCGAGTAAAGTTATAAAAATTAAAAAGATTCATTGTCGATTATTGGAACAGCGAGATTTTTAAGCTTTATATTTTTGATATATATTCAAAATAAAATCAATTGTATACTTATATATTGGTAAATAAGTAATTATTTACCAATATTTATACTAATAATTACTAATAATTTTTAAACGGTATTAATAAAATTATTATTACATAAAACAAGACAAATATCAGTTGTTACTTACAATCTTAATTTATATTAAAAATATACATTAAACTGTGCAAGAAAATTAATACATTAAAAATAAAAATATATGCATTAATATATATAATATATATATGCAATTTATATATATATAGATATATATATATATATATATATATATATATATATTATATATATATATATATATATAATATAATATATTAAATATATAATATTTACACTGAAAAAAATTTTTTAACTTGACTAAACCATTTAACTAAATATTTTGTTAATTGAACATATAAAAATAAAAGCTAATTATTTGCTTGCGAATTATTAACAATTGAGAAACACTTCCCTGTTGTTTTCAAACTCGCTTTGATGAAAATAATAAAATAGTACGAGGCAAACAATTGTGCAATACTATAATTGAATTGACTAATTGAATGAATCTTGACAAAAAACCTTATATAGGAAAATTAATTCAGATAGACCTGATCTAAGATTTAGGACACATATTGTTCAACTGTAGGTTTTACCATTGCTTTTGCAGAACGCTAAACTGGTACACATTTCCTGAGGAGTGGCAATGTTTCCGTTAGATGAATCTGGAGGCGAGAGAACATACGTGTCACCTGTATAAAGATCCAAACATCGTACAGCGAGTTCTCCCGTGAGCACCGCCAAAGTGTTTCCACTGATCCAGCATAAGGTAGTGCTGGTACTGCGCGATATATCATTTCTGCTACTTAATTTTACCTAGAACAATATGCAGCGCAATAACTTATTGATGTATTTTGTCTCAAATTAAAAAAATATAATAGTGTCTCAGCAACAATAATTAAGAAATGAGGTCCATACACTAAATGCAAGGTTGAGAAGTAACTCATTATTGTAACGAAATTACACTTACAGTTAAAATTTTTTGGTAACTAACTTAATTTCATTTCTTTTTCTGCATATATAACTGTAACTTACAATTATATTTTTTTGGTAACTAGTAACTAATTTAATAGTTAGTTTATTTAAAACTTAGAGCTAACAACTTTCGGAAAGTTACGATTGTCTGAAACTTTATGAATTTTTTAATTAAAAAATCTGAATCCCATAATTTTTATTGTAACAAGGGAACGGTCGGAAGTGATTCTCACCAATTTTAATAATTCTTAAATATGTTGTAGAACATTGAAAAATATTAGACCCATGTTTTTTTAGCGGCGTATCTCGACGTTTGGAGAGTAAAACACCCCCTTAAAAAATCGGTTTTTTTATTTCTGAGCTAATACCGTCGAAACGGTAAAAGATATAAAAAAATGTTTCAAATAAAAGTTTTATGATTTTTAATGTTCTTTAAAACAATGTAATCAAATTTTTCAAAAATGTCAAATTTTTTCAAAAATTTCTCTCTTTCCATAATTTGACTATAAATGTCGAGATACGCCGTTAAAAAAAACATGAATCTAATATTTTTCAATGCTCTACAACATATTCAAGGTTTATTAAAATCGGTGAGGGACACTTCCGACCGTTCCTTTGTAAGTACACAATATTGATTATTGTGTTAGAAGAAGTTAATTACAAATTAACAATTAATAATTTATTACAAGTTATTAATTTAATATATTTAATATATGTATATTAATTTAATATATTAAATGTATTTTTATATTAAATTTAAAACAGTTGTAATTTATTGCATCTAAAATAATATAGCACATAATCAAGTATGTAATATATAATTTAGTAAAGCTTGAAATACATATAATTATTATATTTAAAATATAATAGTCATTGCAAAAAAAAAAAAAAAATAACTGAAAAGTAACGTTTTGTTATTTTTTGAGTTATAATAATTGTAACTTGTTATTTTTTGGAGTCGATAACTGTTAATTGTGACTAATTACTTTTTCAATGAAAAAAACTTTAACTATATACTTTTACAAACTAACTTTCTCAATCTTGATTAAATGTAAACAATATACCTTGGTCAATTCAGTGAGTTCTCCATTGATTGAATCTGACTGAAAATGTCCAATATTTAATCCCTCTGTCATGATGATAATAGAGTCCCTAGTCTGATGATACAACAAACAATATAATGTTGCACCATCAGTACTGAGAACTTCCTTACATTGTCCCTGAGAGTCAACAAAGTATATGATACCAGTTGCAGTACCAATATAAAACGAATGATTGTCTCGCTGAGTTGAATTAACTGTCGGTGCAGCGGTTCTTGGACGCCATGAACTAAATAAATCCAAAGCTCTTTCGTCGCCAGCCACTGCTGCCTTTGCTAAGCCACTGTAAACAATCGTTCAAAATAAATAAATATTGAATAAAAATTAATCTACAAACAGTATTTACTTAGAACAGTCTCTTTTAACTTCAATTACTTTTAGCAATATTAATTTTATAATATTATAATAAATAATAATAATAAATAATAAAAAAATAATAATTTATAACTTATATTATGAAATAACTTATATTATAAAAATATAAAATCTATACACTATATTAAAATTCAATTACCTCATTTATAAAGAATGTCCCATTTCAATTAGTTTCAGTGATATTAGATAATATTAATTTAAATGGGGAGCATTCTGTGAATAAATATATTAATGATATGTGTCATACCTAATGTCAACAGCTGGTTTTGGGGGAACTGTTCTAAATGCAATTTGTGTAAAAGACTCTTTTAGTTCATGATGGAATGTCATAAAAAGTTGTCCTCTGGAGTCTATTTTCCAGCCAACTAGAGATCCACTGGAATCTGCAGATACCAAGCGACCGCCAAACTGGCTCCATTGCAAAATTGTGATAGATTCTCGATGAGGAGTTACTACTACAGTGAATTCTTGAGTTCCAGTATCACCTGGCCATACCTAATAACAATTTAACACTCTTTCTTATAATAATTCCAGAAACAATTATTGACTGATCGATGAATAAAATCATGACTGGAAAAGAAATTCTATGCTTTCTGTAGCCTCTAGCATTGTAATACTAACGCGTAACTCTCCACTTTCCCATCCTGCTGCCAGCCATGTCCTCTCAGGATGCCATCCGAGTGCAGTTACTTGTGCCACAATGTGTCCTGGTGACTCTATGTCCTGAACAGGTTCACCTTGGTCATCATAAATGGTAACAAAGCCACCCTTGTCTTGAGAATATGCGGAAACAGCTAACAAGGGATAGTTGTTGTGCCAAGTTATAAAAGTATTAATTGAAGCAGCTTCAGGATTTTGCACTCGTATGTCAAAATATAAAGTCATTGTTTATCACAGTAATTTTATATTAATATATTATATTAGATTGAAATTTAAATGTGTATTTTACATTAAGAGAGAGAGAGAGAGAGTGAATCTTATTAAATTAATTTAATAAATAATTTAATTTAACTGTTACATTAGATTTAATTACAATTTTTTAAATATTACTATATCTTAGAATAAATAAAATTGGACAAATTATATTACATTATTGAAAAAAATTAATTTTATATAATTGAATATATTTTAATAAATAAATTCTCCTGTTTTAAAATGTAATTTTCACATGTATATACATATATTGTGTGTATGCATGATGTTGTCATCATTGTCATGGAGACGCTTTGATGTTTCGGATTTCAGCACGATGCGTATGAAGCGACAGAAAGTCTATAATATGTTTAAAGGTGCCTTTTCACGAGCCGCTGAAACTGATTGTTTGAGCGACAAAATGAGTTCTGTGAAGTTAGCCTATCAAAATTAGATTTTCGAAATTTCAATAATTGGAATCAATAGTTGGTCTTTAATTGATCATTATTGGTCATATTTTAGCTTTTATTGGTTATTAGTTTGATTATTATTAAAAAAATAAATATATCAATGTGAAGTTAGCCTACCTAAATATACAATTTTAATAGATTTTAATTAATTATACGTCAAATCGATAGGAAATCGATTGTTGGTCCCAATTATGTCTTTAGAAATGATTGTTGGTCGATTATTTACTAATTATAACAAAATAATTATTTTTCAATTGCTCACACATACAAAAAAGCTTTTATTTTTAATCATTTATAACTCAAAAATTATTGGTTCCTGGACATTTTCGCTGAGGAAAAATCGTCTCCAAATCGCCTCAGAAATCTTTCATTAACGTGAACGCGAGCCACTGGACACTCAGTATACTATAATATTATTAATCATATGTTATAACAGTAAAATATATATTTTTTTTCCTATAAAAATAGAAATCGTATTTTTATGTGATTGTGTGATAAATAATAAATTATAATAAAAATTAAAAAAAAAAAAAAATAAAACTGTAAAGTGATTTGAGATACCTTCTAATCTTTAAAAATAAAAAAAAACTATTAGAAAAATATACAGATATGTACATACACGAAGTAAAGTAAAAAGACCCAAGACTTTTGCATAAAACCCGTATTAGACTACGGATTAGGATTGAGATTAGATTGAAATTTCACCAATTAGAGCAAAGTTTACAAGCTTGAGATAAGTTTTTTTGATTCTGATTGGTACGCATAAGATCTGTTATATTTAAATTCAATTTCAATCCTAATTCATAGTCTGGTACAGGCTTAAGGCCAGGTCTACAATGGGTAATTTAAACCCTAAGCCTTAAGAAATTGACCAATCAAAATTAAGTATGAGAAGAATAGTCGACTGTGATTGATCAATTTCTTAAAGCTTAGGACTTACGTTACCTATTGTGGACCCGGCCTAACGTATGCATATATGCGTTATACACGTTTAAACGGAGAGCACACATTTTTGCATAAGGCCGTATCTACAATAGGGGGTCGATTGTATAACTTTTTCGAAAGTAAAACGTGAAAAGTGAAAATTTTCGCCAATCACGCATTGATTTTAAAATGAAATCAATGTGTGATTGGAAGAAAATTTTCACTTTTCACATTTTTACTTTAGAAAAAGTTGCACAATCGACTCCTAGGTGTAGTAAACTCTAAGCCTTAAGAAATTGATCAATCACAGTTGATTATTCCCTTCATTCTTGACTGTGATTGATTAATAGAGCTCACTACACCTATTGTAGACCCGGCTTAAGCATACGCATAAGAAATTCGATTGGTTGAATTTCTTATGCATACGTTTATAGACTATAAAATCCATCAGATTCTTACCAGAGAGAAAGATGAGAGCGGCCAGGCCGGCGTTTTGGCTGTTACCGTTTTTACGGGACTGCTTGAAGCGCCCCTCGCACCCGTTTTTAATATCGGAACTAACTGCACACCCATTTTCTGGCAGGGTCGATAAAGTTTGTATTTGGTGCGAGTCCGTGCTACGCCCATAATTTTCGTGTTAACACAGTATCACGTATTCATTCTGTATATGTGCGATCTTTTCTCTTTATTTATATATATATATATAATATATATATATGTATTTATATAATTTGTATAAAAACTAAAATATAATTATTAAAATATATATATATATGTATATGTGTAATGAAATATATAAATCTTATTTTAATTAAAATAAAAAGAACGATTAATTGTTCGACCACCTGGATTTTGGAATGTAATTTTTTAATATATATATATTATATTTAATATTTATCGCCGCTTCTATTAATATGAAGTGCAATGTCAACGTGCAATAATGTACAATTATTTAAAGTTTCCATGCCTAATGTATCATGCCGGTATAAAAGAACGTCAAGTAGCATGCGTAGCCGAGCAACTAAGATGACGAGCTGAAATCGTGGACATTTCAAGTTCAAACCCCTGCCTTTTTCAGATTTTTTTTTCACTTTTTTCAAATAAGTTATTATGTGTATAAATGTGTAATAATCAATATATCATTATTTGATAATTTTTTTTGTAATGGAACAAAATAATTATTTTTTAATTCTGCAAGGAATTTAATTATTAATGCAAACGCCCACACACATAATTTAGATATTCAATTTTTTTAGTTCAAATGTTTCTTGCAATCTGTATACGACAATCAGTCCACTCGCTGTGCCACAGATTGCATCGCATAATACGCTCAGAGTTATAATACGATAGAGATCGCTTTACGCTGTTTTTCCTTGAAATAAATAAATTTTACGTGTTGTGTACGCGTGTTTAGTATATTTGTTTCTTTCATATTAATTTTAACTATAATTAGTTTTTTAATTAAGATTATTTTAGTGTTAGTTGTTTATTTGTTAGTGTCCTGTTTTCTTTAATTTCGCATTTTTTAATTTTCTTTTTTTTTGGTGTTGGTGCTAATTATTATTTTTATTTTACAATGTCGAGTAAACACCGGTTTTACGATAAATGTGTGTATTTAAATTGCACAAATATTAGGACAAAAGATGGAAAACGTTTATTTCGATTTCCATTACAAACGGGTGCGAGACATGATTTATGGTTACGCAATAGTGGTGAGTTTATAAAATTGATTTACTTATTTATATCAATATATAATATATATTGATATGATATATGAAACAAATATATATATATATTCTTTGTTTTTTTTTAATAAAATATGTCAGATATTATGTATGTTTACGTATGGATTACGTTGAAGTGTTTCTTTGCCGCGTTTTTCTGATCTCGCCGAACGGTTCGCGAATCCTGTGCGAATAAAAAACGATGCGCGTGTGTGTGTGCGTGCGATTGTGATGATCAGTTTCAGTTCGTCTTCAACGCTTGACGAGAGAAGAGGTCCCGAACTGCTGTAAGTTTATAAAAACATATTTTTGTATAACACATTAGAACGATTTTATATTATTTTTTTTGTCTAGAAAACGTTATATTAATAACCGTTATGAAAACGATCTTGACGACGGCGACGATGCCGGTGACGACCGTCGTCGAGATCGTTTTCATAACGGTTATTAATATAACGTTTTCTAGACAAAAAATAATATAAAATCGTTCTAATGTGTTATACAAAAATATGTTTTTATAAACTTACAGCAGTTCGGGACCTCTTCTCTCGTCAAGCGTTGAAGACGAACTGAAACTGATCATCACAATCGCACGCACACACACACGCGCATCGTTTTTTATTCGCACAGGATTCGCGAACCGTTCGGCGAGATCAGAAAAACGCGGCAAAGAAACACTTCAACGTAATCCATACGTAAACATACATAATATCTGACATATTTTATTAAAAAAAACAAAGAATATATATATATTTGTTTCATATATCATATCAATATATATTATATATTGATATAAATAAGTAAATCAATTTTATAAACTCACCACTATTGCGTAACCATAAATCATGTCTCGCACCCGTTTGTAATGGAAATCGAAATAAACGTTTTCCATCTTTTGTCCTAATATTTGTGCAATTTAAATACACACATTTATCGTAAAACCGGTGTTTACTCGACATTGTAAAATAAAAATAATAATTAGCACCAACACCAAAAAAAAAAGAAAATTAAAAATGCGAAATTAAAGAAAACAGGACACTAACAAATAAACAACTAACACTAAAATAATCTTAATTAAAAAACTAATTATAGTTAAAATTAATATGAAAGAAACAAATATACTAAACACGCGTACACAACACGTAAAATTTATTTATTTCAAGGAAAAACAGCGTAAAGCGATCTCTATCGTATTATAACTCTGAGCGTATTATGCGATGCAATCTGTGGCACAGCGAGTGGACTGATCGTATACAGATTGCAAGAAACATTTGAACTAAAAAAAATTGAATATCTAAATTATGTGTGTGGGCGTTTGCATTAATAATTAAATTCCTTGCAGAATTAAAAAATAATTTATTTTGTTCCATTACAAAAAAAATTATCAAATAATGATATATTGATTATTACACATTTATACACATAATAACTTATTTGAAAAAAGTGAAAAAAAAATCTGAAAAAGGCAGGGGTTTGAACTTGAAATGTCCACGATTTCAGCTCGTCATCTTAGTTGCTCGGCTACGCATGCTACTTGACGTTCTTTTATACCGGCATGATACATTAGGCATGGAAACTTTAAATAATTGTACATTATTGCACGTTGACATTGCACTTCATATTAATAGAAGCGGCGATAATATTAAATATAATATAATATATATTAAAATTACATTCCAAAATCCAGGTGGTCGAACAATTAATCGTTCTTTTTATTTTAATTAAAATAAGATTTATATATTTCATTACACATATACATATATATATATATTTTAATAATTATATTTTAGTTTTTATACAATATTATATAAATATATATATATATATAAAAATAAAAGAGAAAAGATCGCACATATACAGAATGAATACGTGATACTGTGTTAACACGAAAATTTGGGCGTAGCACGGACTCGCACCAAATACAAACTTTATCGACCCTGCCAGAAAATGGGTGTGCAGTTAGTTCCGATATTAAAAACGGGTGCGAGGGGCGCTTCAAGCAGTCCCGTAAAAACGGTAACAGCCAAAACGCCGGCCTGGCCGCTCTCATCTTTCTCTCTAGATCTTTCTTACTTATGCGCTTATGCAAAAGTGTGTGCTCCTCGCTTTATGGACCAATCAAATTTCTTATGCGTAAATTTCATGTGTTATGCGTTATACAAAGTCTGTGCTCTGGCCTTAATTAAGCAACTAACGTCATTTTGACGTAATTGGACGTCAAAATGACGTTAGTTTGCTATCTGGGACAATTGTTAACTTTTATTTCTCGCGAATTTGTAGCTTGATTGTCTGTCTAATTAGCTTTTATTAATTTTTTTACGTAATACAAAAAAAAATTTTAAAGAATTAATTTTTGAGCGTGGGTGATTTTGAAATCCAATAGTTTCAAACTGTCACCGCGCAGAGTCGCTAGTGTCGGTTCAGAATCTATCCGCTACTCCTGTCTCATCATGTTCTGTGTTTTATGACAGATTAGGAAGAAAGAGAGAGAACGAGAGAACATGGAAAACACTTTTCCGAGTTTTGTGTGCACATTGTTCATTGTAGTATCGTAAACTGTCTACAATATACGCGAAACACGGAAAATCGCGCGTTCTTTTCTCTCATAACATTATTGAACTATCATTATCGTCGGTTATTCTTGTCTTGCTTACAATTAGTAACAGAGGAACATGGCTATGGCTTTTTCGGATCTGAGCAACATTACTCCTAATGTCGCGACAAATGTTGAAGAAACAACGGAGAATATCAAAGAGTGAGTTTATTTCTTAGAAAATGAGGCGGTTGATGCAATTTAAAATTCAGTTGCACAGCGGGACGTAGATAAGAATAGAACAAAACTGAATTATGAGCATTTTTTTCTCGAAAAAAATGTACTCTTATACAGAAAACTCTTTATTTTTGTCTACTCGTTATTTTTGTTATTTACATTTAATTATAATAGAATTTATATGAGTCTTTAGGTTAGGATTTTTGTATTTGTCTTTTTGTAATTGATAAAACATATTTATAGTTATATATTTATATATATTTATTTTAATGAAATAAAAGATATTAAAAACAAATATTATTGTAATGATAAATAAATATTAAAGAAATTGACCCTAATAATTTAAACTTGTTGAACTTACACTTTATATTTCTAATAAATATTATTGCAATGTTTAATGATAGTAATGCGAAGACTAGCCATGCTAAATGAAAAAGAAAATAAATATAATTATGTATATAAAACAAAAATTTTTTTAAATATTACAAACTAACACTGGAGAGATTAAATATCAAAATTTGATCAATTAGATCAAATTTTTTTTTTTATGTAAATTCCAATCTTTAAGCTTTAAATGTTTAATGCGTAGCGCAATACAAACCTACTATTTTAATTTTGTTTTTCTTATTTTGTCTGAGTCATAGCACTGTATGTATCTATATAAAGTGTTACAACTTACAGTAAAACACATTATATATATAAATTACTGTATGTTTATTATATTTTATATTTACAGATTGGCAGAATCGAAAAAAGAAGCTGCTAATCAATATTATTCTCAAAAACAGTATAAAAAGGCATTGAGTGGTTACAGTGAAGTTATTGGTAAATATTTAAAAATTTTATTTTAAATAAAAATAGATAATTTAATCAAATAAAGCATTAGTTAATATTACATAATTATATAATTATGTAATATTAAATAATGCTTTAAAATCATTATATAATTATTTTAATAATTTTAGGATTCTTATTTTTAATAGATAATTACAATGATTAAAAAATATTTCAGAAATGTGTCCTAATGTATCGCGCTACTATAGCAATAGAGCGGCATGTTACATGATGCTGGGACAATATCGAAATGCATTAGCAGATACTAAAAAATGTATCGAACTGGAGCCACAATTTTCCAAGGTATGCTGATGATTTAATCTGTTGATCGTTGTATGTTACATTTTTTCTGTATATATTTATTTTCAGGCATACATAAGAATGATCAAGTGTTACTTGATCTTCGGTGACATTGTAGAAGCTGAAACCACAATAAAAAAGCTTTTAGAGTTCGATCCCAATAATGAATCGATAGCTGCAGAGCAAAGGGACTTAGCATATGTACAAAAGTTTCTTACAGATGCTGATGCTTCATATAATGCTAAGGATTATCGCAAAGTAAAAGATTTATTACACACTTTCTTATATTAACAATCCATTGAGATTATATAATTATTAAATTTAATTTTTGTAGGTTGTATATTGTATGGATCGTTGTTGCGATATAAGCACATCTGGCACATGTTTTAAGCTGACTAAAGCAGAGTGTCTAGCCCTTTTAGGAAGATATCAAGAAGCTCAAGATATTGCAAAGTAAGTTGCTTCACTATAAATTAAGGGCATGTAATACAAAACATAATATATGCATTCGTAAATCTGTATAAATTCATCCTTAGTGATATTTTACACATTGATAAACAAAATGCTGACGCGATATATATCCGTGGAATGAGCTTGTATTTCCAAGATGATGTTGATAGAGCCTTTACACATTTTCAACAAGTATTACGACTTGCACCAGATCATGCCAAAGCACTAGAAATATACAAGGTAGATAAAACGACAAATTCTTCTAATTTATATTTTATTAAGAGTACGCACATTATTTTCATACATTTCTTGTACTCTGTCAGAGAGCAAAAAGTCTAAAGAAGAAAAAAGAAGAAGGTAATGCAGCATTTAAAAAGGAGCAATATCAAGAAGCATATAATCTTTATAACGAAGCATTAACTATTGATCCACATAACATTATGACTAATGCTAAATTACATTTCAATAAAGCAACAGTAGCAGCTAAGGTATTGCACATCAAACATTGGCTCTTTTAAAATTAATACTTGAATAAGTGTATTATTTTTATGTATAATACAATCATTTATATACAGGTCGCATAGGAAATTGCTGAAACTAATCAGCTGTCATTTTTTAATGCATGCAGTTATTCAGAAAACAAAAATTGTTGGAAAGAGGAAAGTTCAGTTTTTAATGGATATAAATAAAATATTTGTATACCAATTTATTTTATTGATAAAAATAATGAAAAAAGAGTTAATAATCACATAAAATCACATAAACTAATGATAAATATTTTTAACAATGCCAGATTTATAGCAACTATTAAAAGGATCGTCAATAACATTAAAAATGACATGTTATAGAAAGAGTTTTTACGAGTTTTCGTAAAAGAACAGAATTTTGTACAAATTCAGATGGTGCACACTTTAAAAATATTTATTATTTACATATGTGATTATTAGCATATTTTTATTTTTTTTCAATAAAATAAACTGGTATACAAACATTTTATTTATATCTATTAAAAACTGTAGACTTTCCTCTTTTCAACATCATTTTTGTTTTCAATAACTGCATGTATTAAAAAAATGACAGCTGGTTAGTTTCAACAATTTCGTATGGGACACTGTATAAATTTTCAAAAACTACAATATTATGCAATATAGGGGGCAAAAGATAACCTTTTGTATTATACTTTCGCTTTATTGATTTTTAGTTAGGAAAATTGAGCGAGTCCGTAACAGAATGTACTGAAGCTCTGAAACTTAATGAAAATTACTTGAAAGCTCTTCTTAAAGAGGAACTATCTACATGGAACTTGAACAACATGAAGAAGCTGTTCGAGATTTCGAAAAAGCATGTAAAATGGATAAGAATAATCGTGGTATGAATTTTATTGATTAATTATAGTATTAGTATAGCAGAAATATTCATAAAATAATGTATATAGAAGATTAATGAGCGCATAATATGTATATTTATTGTTTTCTACATTTAGAGTGTTTTAAAATTACTGGATCTTTTAATGCTAAATTCTTTGGCCAATTTGAAATAGATTTTTTCTTAGCTAAAATGTGGAAAAAGTCTTTACTACAACTTCCAATTTTTTGCATTATATCTTTGTAATTAAACCTTAAATTATTATTAACTAAACTGGTATTAAACTAAACTGAAATTATTAATTGAATAATGTGTAATTATCTCCATTTAGCTTTCGAAAATATAGCTTCCTAAAGAGTTTTTTTCAAGTTCTTATAATTAAAAAATTATTGATGTCAATATTTTTGTTTAAAAAAAAAATTGACTTTAAATTGACATAAGATTCTTTTTCATTAAAAGAATATCTGCGATGATTTTGGGATACTATATGTTTAATAATTTTTATAGAAAATAAACGATTACTCGCAAAAGCGAAATTACTGCTAAGAAAATCCAAGAGGAAAGATTATTACAAAATTTTGGGTATTGACAAAAATGCATCAACTGAGGATATCAAAAAGGCGTATAGGAAACGAGCTCTGGATCACCATCCAGGTAAAAAATGAAAATACATTATTTGTTGCATAACTAATAAACTATGTTCTTATTATATTTTATTATATTTGTTATTAGATCGTCACGCTAATGCAAGTGAAGGAGAAAAGAGAGAACAAGAAAAAAAATTTAAGGAAGTTGGAGAAGCTTATGGAATTCTGTCAGATCCTAAAAACGCTCTCGTTACGATCGTGGTCATGACCTAGATGATAATGAAGGTGGTTTGCAAGGTTATTATTTCCTAGTAATTATACAGGCTGGAGCATTTAAAGTGTTACAAGCTGTTATCTTTGAAAGTACACATAGCAAAAAATGTTTCAAACAAAAGTTATTTAACTCGAAGGGTGATATAAAAGGTGCCATTGATTTGACCTAGGTAGTCGTTTGAAGGTTACATAAAAGTCATTTTCAATTTCTTAAATGGGAAGACTTATTTCTCAATGTATATTCTTATAGCTTATCTTCAGAGCTTTTTAAAATATTATAATGAAGTATTTTTTTATTAAGTACTTTTTGAATTGTGAGACTCAAGTTTACAATATTTTGATATAAAATAAAAAATATCTGATGAAACATTTAGTTTTCGGTAATCTTACTTTAATACTTTTATGCACAAAATAATGAGACCAATTAATTGATATAAAGAAAACAGTTAATATGAAAAAAGTATGTACTTTTTGAGATAATAACTTGTAACACTCTCTAAACATCCTACCCTGTATATGTTACTTATAATATTATATATTTTGTGGTTTTTTAATTGTCTTATAATATTGTATATATCGTATATAATTTTTCTTGATTTTATTTCTAGATATGGATCCCAATGCAATGTTCCATTTCTTCTGTCAAGAGGGAGGGGGTTTTCAATTTCAGTTTCAGGATGGCTTTCCCGGTGCTTTCCAATTTCAATTTCCAGGTTAATAATATTCTTCAAAAGTATAATATATATATTACATATATATATTACATCACAGTGTAGCTGTGTATATGATATTCTAGAATCTTAATAAATACTGCATCGAATTTTTCAAATACTTAAGCCGACGATGCAATGTAGTGTAATTACTTGCGTTTCGTAATTTTGAAACAGGTATTCATTTGTGCAGTTATGCATATTTATTTAAAATACTACTTGTAAATATCACATTTACTATTCTATTCTATTTTAATAAATAGATCTTCAATTAACGGATAATTAATTAAGAATGTTAAAATTAATGTCAAAGTGCAAGCAGTTTTGAAACCAGCGATTTTGAGGTCTGAAACATGCTCGTACCTGACGAAAATTTTTTGAATGAATAAGAAAAGCAAATACTAACTTTTTAATTGAAAACTTCAATTGAAAACGTTTTCAAAAAGTATTTGACTTCTTGATTGAAATCTTAGACAACCGTTTATTGTCATCGTGTTTAGCATATTATATTAATATATCGAAAAAGATGACAATTTTATTTGATTGAAAACACATTAGTAATTAGCGCCCTCTTTCCTAAAAATTGTTCAATTGCTCATTTTCGCGCCTCATGTCTTTCGCCCGAAGTGTTTTATTCACTTCATCCTCGATCTAATTGATGTGTAATCATTGAGACTGAATGCTTTCTCTTTTTATTCTAGATTTTCTCGCTTTAATCTTTACTCTTATTTATAATCTATTAATTATAAATGGAAATATATAGTTTGTAGGAAATAAAGCTATTCTCTTCTCTCTGGAATAGAAAGATGCGTGCAGATATATTAATAAAATATGGTTTTTCTTTAAATTTGTGTCTAAATATCCATATTAGTTTTAGATTCTTACATTATTACTATACAAGTCCGAGCAACACGATTATTGTAACATCATTGATTAAAATAATATTATTGACATAAATAATAATATTGATTAAAGTAAATTAAAATATGTTTATATATTAGAAAATCCTCCAACCTCATATATTCCGATACTCGTATGGACTGCTAGCATCCCTCTTTTCCCATATACAGGATGTCCCATAGGAAATTGCTGAAACTAATCAGCTGTAATTTTTTTTAATGCATATAGTTATTGAGAAAACAAAAATTGTGTTGGAAAGAGGAAAGTCTGCAGTTTTTATTGGATATAAATAAAATGTTTGTATACCAGTTTATTGATAAAAAGTGATGAAAAAAGTGCTAATAATCACATAAAATTACATAAATTAATGATAAATATATACAACAATGCTAGATTTAATAGCAGCTATTAAAAGGATCGTTAATAACATTAAAAATGACATGTTAGAAAAAATTTTTACGAGTTTTCGTAAAAGAACAGAATTTTGTACAAATTCAAGTGGTGCACACTTTGAAAATACTTATTTATCATTAGTTTACATATGTGATTATTAAAATTTTTTTCATTACTTTTTTTCAATAAAATAAACTCGTATACAAACATTTTATTTATATCCATTAAAAACTGCAGGCTTTTCTCTTTTCAACACAATTTTTGTTTTCTCAATAATTGCATGCATTAAAAAATGATAGCTGATTAGTTTAAGCAATTTCCTATGGAACACCCTGTATGTATACAATAGATGATGCATTTAGTATAATACAAAAATCGCTTATTGTACCAATCACGAACATTATTCACTTAATAAATGGTTGTACATACTAAATGCATTCAATGTAATGCTTTGAACTGAAATGAAGACATGTTCTATATATATATATATATATATATATATATATATATATATATATATATATATATGATTTGTATATATAAAATAAAGTAAAATTCTTTTGTTTTTATAATTTATTATTGAAATTTATTTTACCTTATTTATTATGTGAAAGTTGTGAAATTACAACAAATTACAATATATATAATAATAGAAATAAATTAATAAAATTAATGGATTAAGACTTGGAAGGATGTAAATATCATTGTATTAATCATAATTGTGATAACAATAGAGTAATATTGAAGAATAATATTTTTTAATAGTTTGTTAATAATAGTAATATTAATAATAATAATGAATATAATATATACTTCTTACTTATTGTTAGTATTACAAATTTATTAACTAAACAAATATTTTGCCGATAAATCTACGCTTTGTAATATCAAGTGAAAAATATACTATTTATTATATATTTATTATATATATTTATATATATATATATATAAAAATATAATATTTAAAAAAATGCTGCAAATATTACATAAAACCTTTCAGGCAAAATCGGTAAGTAAGATTTCCAATTAATTATTTTTTTAACATTTTATTCTGGTAAAAATGCTTACATATAGCTCATAAAGATACATTCTTACTACTTTTCATCATAGTCTCTTTCTTTATAGGCATTTGACTACACGAAAAATTAAGGAATCAAAATCTTTCTATCTTGTCGGTAGAAAGCGGGAATCTTATACTTCTTTTTGCATCCATTACACTGCTCATCCTTCTGCACTTTTTGATATCTTCATCTGAATAAAATTGCTTATCACCTTCTTGGTTTTGATTCATAGATCTTCTGTCTAGACAAATCGCGCAATAAAGAAGAAGATTGTGTAAGGATTCTTTATACGAGATGTAGCATTTTTGTAAGTATTTTTATAAAAATAGTATTAAAAAAATAAAGTAATTGTATTTTTAAAATAAAAATAAAACTAAATATTTTCAAATAAAAGTAAATAAAAATATGTGTTTATTTAATTACATTTCGCAGTATTATATTTATGAATTAATAAAAATATGATAATAAAATAAATTGCTTTAAATGAAATAATAAATAATAAGATGAACTAAATATAATAATAAAATAAATTCTCCTTTGATTATATAAATAAATATTATAGTTTATAGTCCCAAGTAGCAAGCATATACAGTCATTTTGACGTTTGATAACGTCATGCAGTTTGTTACTTGTTTTTTTGTACTTAAATTTATTTTTATTAATTTTTCTTTTATATACTAATAATAATTTTTTTGTATTGATCAATATTATAAATATAAAATTCAGAACACAATAAGCAAACTGAACACTACAATGTAGATAAGAACATATCTTGGAAGAAGTCAGATTAGTTCATAAATATATGTGTTTTTCGATCATCAGCGAGTAATTTCAAATCTTTAATGCGTAATCCAAAAATTAGTAGTCTATGATAACTAATGCGAAAATTTATACCGTCCAGCCGAGAGAGAGAGAGAGAGAGAGAGAGAGAGAGAGAGAGAGAGAGAAGAGAGAGAGAGAGAGAGAGAGAGAGAGAGAGAGAGAGAGAGAGAGAGAGAGAAATTTCTCTGGCGATGATTCATGATATCTCGATATCCATGACATCGCACGTTTGTAGTTAAATGATAGGAACTAGACGCATATGATGCATGCTTATTACAATCGTGTGTCTTCAGGTACGTAACTGGGTAAAATTGTTATCGGAAGTATGCATTGTTACTTTGTTACGTTTAAAATTAAATCTCAAATGAAGAAATTTGATAAAATAAATAATATTTAATCTATTTCGAAAAATATTAATTCTCAAAATAAATACATTCTATATATATATATATATATATATATATATATATATGTGTGTGTGTATATAATATATAGCATAACTTTTAAGAAACAAATTGCGTAATTCAGAAAACATTTAAATAAAAAGTATTTTCAATCATAAGTTGGCATCCCTATCATCAATTTAAAAACAGCTATTTGATATAATTATTTCAGTATAAATAAAATATCCTCTATCCTTCATTCAATAATGACGTTTATTTCTCGAAAAGTGCACCTTTCCCTTGTAGAAATTTATCACTAGTAACGCCAATTATATAATCACTTATTTCGAGTACTTAAAATACTGATATACAGTAGTTTAAGTACTCGAAATAACCCATACAGCACCGATAGATTGCAAAAACATTACAACAATCTTTCACCGCAATATTGCAATATTGCAAATTCACTGCAAAATGTTGCTACATCATTGCTGTTGAATTGCAGCAATGTTAAAATGTCCGCTTTTGGAAGATTGTAACAAAATATTACAACAATATTGCAATATGTTATGAGTTTGCAATAATGCATTGTTATTGCAACCATAAACTAATGTTGCATATACAGGTATATAAATGTAAATAAATCATTAATGAAAATACGTTGTAGTTAATTTATATATATTACAATATATAAATTATAGAATTTGGATTACATGCAATATTTCCGAAATATTAATGTCATGTTGCTACAAGTGTGCTGGAATTTTGTGCACTTATATCTCTGCAATGTCTTTATAATGTTGCATTGCAACTTGCAACGTTGCAACGTTGCTGCAATATAATTGCAATAATCTGTGCTGTATGGGAAGTGATAAATTGGCGTTATTAGTGATAAATTTCTATAAGGTTGAAGAACAGCGTTTAGTGATAAAGTTGCACCAAAGTTTTTTTTCAGGACTATTCAATTTAGGTTAGATTTCTTCATATTTTTTACTATCTATGTCAAGTTTCATGACGATTATAGTTTTGTACCACCAAATTTCCTAATTTGGTATACTCTTTCTGTAAATATTTTCTGCCATTCTTATTGTTGTAGCTAGTATAATATATATATATATATATATATATATATATATGTGTGGGACAAAACATTTTCGAACTTGCTTATCTATTTTATTTCTCATCAGTAATTCTATAATAAAAGATACAGATTGGGCGATTAAGGAAAAGTTTATACCATAACTTTCAATATACGTTAATTTTCCAGTTGCTTCAAAATGTTGGGCACAGCTTTAATATGGTGTTTGAGATCATTATCATGTTGAGAAATAAAATTTTTTCAAATGAATTGTAAATTCTCAAATAATAAACCGTATATTAAAAAAAAACTCAGATAGCTAGTGAACATAAAAGTTGCTTTCATATTGCTACAAGATGTTAACATCTTATATTGAGCATCTATGTCGTCCATTATTGTGCTGTTGTTTTGTTAACATATATTCAATGTCGGAAACGAAACATTTGCACGTTTACTGGAATTAGAATTAATAGATGTTGACAATTAATGCTGACATAATGATAGCAACGTGTTTAAATCTGTCAGCAAATTGAAAACATTATCTGCTAACTTTTTGCTAACAGTATATGCTTATTCAATATATTTTTGCTACGTTTAATACTATTATAAGCTTGAACGTAAATATATATGTATTGCTGTTTTTCGCTCTATTTTATACCTACACGTATGCACACATATACGTATGAATCGTAATACTAACTACTTTTATATTAAATTTCTAATCCAGATTTAGAGGATAATAGTATTTTTTTCATGTATCTAAATCTTAGGGATCTTGTGTTTATATTCATACAAAATGTATATTTTTTTATATAAAGCACTTATATGATGAGTTGACAGCTCGCCTATCATTCGAGACGTCATTTTCATGTCTAGTTTATCCTGAGAACTTGCTCAAATGACTTTCAGCAGTGAAAATAGTATTCACGTATTATGACTTCAATGTAAAGAAACACTCTTTGAAGGATATCTTAATAGTTCATCGTAGTAGGATCCAGTCTTGCATCGATATAATGCATCACTTCGAATATTTTTTGTAAAGATCACTGCTGAAGGCATCTGAGCAAGTTCTCAGGATAAACTAGACATGAAAATAGGTTGAAATAAGATTAAAATAAAATAAAAATAAGTCAGTCAATCATGCACGATGTATCCGTTCGAACATTTTTTGTAAACGTGAATTTCATTTAATAACCCATACAGCACCGAT